AATAGGCGTCGCCCATGAACACCTGGAATACCAGAGGCGTTACAAGTGCGTTACCGGCTTTTTGGAATTAGGAATTTGAAGGATTGTTGGGGATTCAGGGATTGGGGAAAGGGATGGGGGGGGGGGTAATTGGGCATCCGGTAACATCACTCACTCGACGAAACACAACACATTGTTGTTTCACGTCGGTCTCCTGTAAGGCCGTGCTATCATCACTCCGGTCGAGCCGTCCCATTCGTGCCGAAGCATGGCTCTCCCACACTTAAAGTAACTCAAATACACGATAGTGACAGTACTGTGTCGACGTGGTGTTAACTATTAAACGCCAAATTAAATCATAACTTCGAATATTTGACGATTCTTCCATACTAAAAACTGTCAAATATCAATATAATTCTACAGTGAAGAATAATTTTTTAATTGAAAAATCGGCCTCTAAAATAAACACTATCTCTTACCTGAGCATATTTAGCGTCGCAAATGATCACATAGGGCACAGCCAAAAAATGTACTCTATACGCCTTCCCATATTGTTCAGAATACTTTGCAAGTAAGTTCAAGAACTCTGCAACAAAAACGTGCAAGCAATTATTTAGGTACTTACATTGTAAATAATAATGTTTCCTAACTACATTTTAATAAACAGTTATATGACATCATTCTCGTTTTTATTCATACTTGATTATAGATACCTACCATCGGACTTAGTACATATAGATACATGAAATTTGCTATTGTCTCTGCTGTTATGAACTATTTGCAATAATTTATACGTCTTATACTATTATATCTTGGTTATTTTAAGTGGTTTGGGAGACTGTTTTATCTAAACTGCCAGCTCAATTCTTATTTACGTTAGTTTATTTATTCTTTACAAGGAAAAGTCTTTTCATTGTTAAATAAATATTGTTTAATGATTTCATTGTTATTAATGATACGCCGTAAGAGTGCAAGCTAGCCCAATATACTTAACCTTTTGAGCGCCAATGTCACATATACGCGACAAGCGAAAACTGTCCCTGGACGTCAACGACACAAATACATGACAGAAAAAGCGGAACCAGAAACACGAATTATTGGAATCCCTATTGTTGATACAATAGGGATTCCAATAATTCCTATTTCTTTCGTAGAAATTTGCGTGGAATTTGTGGCTTGGTGTCGAAAGCAGGTTCATGTGTTTTTGCTCTGGCGTTCAAAAGGTTAATAATTATAACACCGCCTCTAGCTATACATTTATGGATTTATTTTATCAATAAACTTTTTTTGAAAAATATAATCATTGGCGGGTCAGAGGTAGTAGGGGCAGAGGGTATTTTTTAAGAGGGGAAAATCATCGAACAACTTCTCCCGCCTAGGTGAGGCGGGAGGAAGTGTCAGACTCTTACTGACTAAAAACCACCCCGTTCCTACTCCTGCTCTTCGAGCCGGAGCCCCGGTAACCCGTTAAGTCCTCCGTGGCTCCGTATAGGAGCAGAGGGTCTAGGAGAGGCTATCAAACAGCTGACAGCAAATATAAACTTAAGTATAATAAACTAGCTTTTACCTGCGGTATTCTCCGTTTGAATTTAGCCAATATCCTATTCCGTACCCCTAATTATAAACATGCATTTATTATCCAAAATGTAACTAAGACATAAAAATGCAACAAAAACAAGTTCAATTTATGTTATTAGTTAGGATAGTACCTACGGCTTTTTATTAGGTACGGCATTAGGTGACACCTGAACTCACTAGACAATTAGAACAAGGTCCGAACTATTAATTGATACTAATTAGGTATATTTTTATATGGATACAAATGTTATCGCTATTTTTGATAACACCACTTAAAATTTAAGTTTATTATGAACGTTACATAAATATTATGAGTATTTTGTTGATATACCTATAGATAACACTAAATTGTGTGTTGAGGCATGGCATGAGGCATGTGCTGTTAAGCCAAATGTCGAAAAACTCGCTCTAAATAAGTACTTGCATAATATTATTACACTTGCATATTATGATAAAAATATTTTTTTTTAATTAAAAGAGTAACGAATGGAGTTTCTTGCTCGTTCTTCTCCACTCGAATCTACATTTTGGAACGAACGCCTAGCTTCACTGACGGACATACTGACAGACTATAATTTATTTTATATTTGTTGACGATTCAAAAGTAAAAAAAATGGATTAATTGAAATAAATGCTTTTGAGTTTGAGTTTGAGTTGGCGCATGGCGCATAAAGCCTAACATAGCGTATTATTTCAGCTATGCAATAATACGTTTTCTATAATTCACTAAATTCCCTACTCAGTTTTTAGTTACGAAAGACTTTTATATTGATATACTGACTTGCAATTTATCCATTTAACATTTCTCACCTATTCGAGACTTCCCGATAGCAAAGGGCACAGTACCTACTTATAGTACCAAGTACCAACACATATTACAGTATGCAAATGTATTTCTATTTACTTACACTAAGCGTAAACTAGAGACAGACTATATATAATCATTGTATTATAAGATTCTTTCGAAAACAAAAATCACATATTTTTCTGTGTTTGAACTGCAGTAAAGCAATAACAACAAATAGATACCTATATAATATTTCAAATACCTAATATGAAACAAAATAAAGCATTTCGTTACTACTTAACTATATTACGACAGAATTCAAAAATAAATAAATCAATATCTTACCTGTAGATTCAGAAATGAACATGTGAGCATTGCCGATAATAGGTAAGGGCATCGGCCCATTGACATTGAACCGGCGACTCTCTCTAACTAAACTAATCCATGACACTAATAAACCTAACACTAAAATAACGGATACTAAAAACAAAATCATTTTTAAAGTACACTAACACCAGTATGCAACCTCATTCGATGAGGCTTGTAATCAAAATGCGAGTCAACAGGACAACGCTAGCCGGTTAGAACGATATACCTAATCTCATCGCGAATACGGAACAAAAAAAAACAAGCGGTCAATGCCACATGTGTCTAACGTTCAAAAATGGAATGTTGTTATTTGTACCAAATAAAGAACAATCATAATTACAATTTTAAAGTAACGCTCTGCTCTAATAAACATTACATTGTTTTTAATAACACAACTTCACGCCTTTTATATCCAAAGGGGTAGGCAGAGGTGCACAGTAAGGCACTTAATGCCAATCTACAATGTGACACCCACTTTTCACTATTTTTTGAGTTTTTAGTTAGTTATTGGGTGAGCCTATTGCCATACACCGGGCACATTTCCAGACTCCGTTCTGAGATTTTTAGAAAAAACCACCTAATACTTTGTATTTAATAAATATTTGTTTTATTTATTTATATTTATTAATTTTACTTGCCTATGTATGTCAGTTTTCATTTTCTTCTTGCCCTTGTACAATGTTACTAAAAGTCGGCACAATATGTCTGCTTCTTTCATTCTCCTATATCAAATGTCATCCAATCAGGAACTAATTTCTCTTTTAAGACTTTGACTGCCAATAAAAAACTGTTGAAGGCAAATTCTCCGCTAACGCCGGTCACCGGTGACCCCCATGACGTTTAACGTGTTAAACTGTCAAACACCAAGCGGTCACCGGTGACCGCAACCTATTGTTCTATAATTGTGTCTATAATGACGGTACTCGACGAGTTAAATTATTTTTCACACAACTATGCCTCTTTCCTATGGGTGCTCTCTACTTTTACATCCTTCTACCTACATCCAATTTACTATGTTAATATAAACCTTTTTATGTCTTTATGAACCAAAATACGGTAGTTGACAGGTAGTCAAATCCAATACCTTTATTGAAATGTCAAAAACGATACTTTTCTATGAATTTTGTATTGGATTGCAACTTATGACGTCATCATATTTCTGCGTCAAATAGCATACTTACTTCCTTAAAATTAGCGAGAAAAAATCCAAAAGTAGGTAAATTGTCAAATTAATAGATGAGAGTATGATTATTTTGTAATTGTTTATTGCATTGCAAAGTTAAAACAATTTATTTTAAACCCAGGAAACTAGCCAATTGTATAGTCTGAAGATTTAATATCCAAAATTTAAATTTCCTAAACCCATTCCAAGGTTTGAAACCTATCAATACTTAAGTATTGACTTTCGAAACTAATTAGAATTTCGTCTAAAGAAATCGTTATCCTATTGATTAAGAAAACCACACGATATATAAAGTTAGACCGAAATGAATACAAGATTTTTGGTCATGTTAGGCACGACACCTCTAAACAGGTTCTGGTTTTTGCTAGTCTATAGTCTATCTTGTTTGTCTAAGGCCAGTTAATAAGCAAATCATAATTTGTCAAATTTCCTTACTGTTAACATTTTTCGAATTACCTACTAATCTACTATTCTGCAAATTATATTTATTACTTTATTATGAAAGTAGAAACTCTAGCAGAATAACTTCCTTTCATAATTTTCTGGTTGTGCACTTTCTATCTATTTCTTCTCCTTTTTCAACCTCTGGAGTATATTTTACCTTCGGAAATGTATCCCAGTTTATTATCATTGTAGTCGGGTCTTCTGGCGAGATAAGAATCAAAGAGTTCACGCAATATGTAAACCCTAAGGTTGACTGGTGTCGCGGAGAACCTAACGGGTAACCGGGGCTCCGGCTCGACGTGCAAGAGAAGGAACGGGGTGGTTTTTAGTCAGTAAGAGTCTGACACTCCCTCCCGCCTCACCCAGGCAGGAGCAGTCATTCGATGATTTTCCCCCCTTAAAAAAAAAAAAAAAAAGTTGACTGGTAGAGAATGCCATATGGCAATAAGTTCGCCTTATGTGCCATATGATTATTATGTAATTTGATTAAATTGTGTACATTATAGACTAAATAAATAAAAAAATAAATATGTTGGCTATGTTAGGCACTTAGGCCACGCTGTTCTCTTGTTTGGTTAGGTTGTGTGTTGGTATAAAAAAGTTACAGCTAAACGGTGTCAAATCCAAAGACACATATTTCTTTAAATGAGAATACTGTCATATTTTACAACATTATATTATTCAAAATACAAGTTTGGTATTAATAAACACATGATATGATATGAATGCTTACAATTACATGGTACTTAAAATACTTTAATCTTATCAATTATTATCAATTAATTTTTCGCAAACAATTTATTTTCTTGGCATGAACCTCACATTGACACCATTCTTTGATCTCAGAATGAGGTCAGAACATAACTGGGGCGTTACATCAACAGGTAATATGTGGAAGTGCTTGATAATCTCCGAGATAGTGATCTTCAGTTCCATCATCGCGAACTTTTGACCTGCGAAAGAAATCAGATGAGAATTTATTGATGGTCTCAGTGAAAACATCAGTATCGTTGATAGAGGGTCGCATATGTTCAGGAGCCGACGTGTCGTGGCTGATTGATAGCTTTGGTTTTAGATATAGAGGGTCTTGACTCTGACTCCCATACCAGGGTCAACCTTTCATAATAATAATAATAATAACCCTGACCGCCGGTAGCTTGGATTTCTCCCGTTACTGGTGGGCTACTGCTTTTTATGTTAACGGTCTTTCAACTTATCTTGGTTAAGATACTGATTACATGCTTACCAATACAATTCCGAGGTCCAGCGCTGAATGCCAGAAAACTGAAGGGATTCTTTAGAGACTCTTCGAATCTTTCGGGACGGAACTCCAAAGGATCTTCAAACATGTCTGGTTGGCGTTGAATCTGGTAGATATTTAGAATGACTGATGTATCTTTGACCATTGTTAGGCCTCCGATCTCTGTAATGTAGTATAAATACTGTAAAATATCATTATAAATAAATATTAAATGTAAAAATATTACAACGGCATCAAGCGGGAGGGATAAGACCAATTTGAATAATCGGTTATTATTGTGTTTTTATAATAACTATCGTGAGACATACTAAATTAAGTAAAAAAGCATGTCTGCTCATGAGGAAGAACCCCTCTGTGGTTCGAAACTAGTAGAGCTTTTCTCAGTATATTGACGTGAGTAACCCGCGTTTTTACTTAATCGGTTATTGTTGTTTCATCAGGAGAAGGTGTTGTAAAAATAGAACTTACGACCTTTGTCCTTACGACGGACCTATTTCGGTTCAGATTACGTACCACAGTCTCTTGTTATCCTTCGCTCAATGAAAGCCACGGGTGGGTACAGCCGCATCGACTCCTTAAGGACCATCTCCAAGTATTTCATTTGGCCAAGTTCCCTGTAAGAAAAATGTATGTACAGAAGTTAATACAGAAGAATAGTAATAAAGAGACATATATCTTCTTATAGACTACATAACATTCTATTATATTTCGGTTTTCTTCTATTCTTTCTTCTTCCTATTGTGCATCTACCACCCATTCCCAAATTCTTTTCAAAAATTTCATCCAAAGGTTGTCTGGAAGAAATCGCCGCGTGTGGTAAGACCGCCCATTGTACTCAAATTACTATTGCAATGTATACAATTTTTTCTGTGTGTGCAATAAAGTATAAATAAATAAATAACATTATTAGTATGTAGAGACGAGTGTTTCTACTCCTATTAATATTTATTTTCTTTTTAGTAAGATTTTGTATAGTTATTGAGCATTTAACTCACTGGTACGTTGGGTCTCTGTCCATATTGTCACCGAAAATAGTTTGCAACTCTTCATATATCTTCTCCTGAATATGTCTACGCTTAGACAGACAGTAGAGTGCGTATGATATACCAGAAGTCGTTGTGTCGTGACCCTGTAATATTAAATAATAAATATTAATACCATTACAACAAAATAAAATTAAAATTTCCTGTGTATGTTACTTCGAACAGCTATAACGCACAATGAATTACTAAACTCACTTCAAACATGAATGTGTCGACTTCTTCTCTCACGCTCTCATCGTCAATTTTTTGACCGTCAATTTCACCAAGCAGCAACAAATCCAAGAACGCATGCTTGTTCCTTATTCCTGTAAATAAATTAAAAACAAAATGGTCATTCTACATAATAAACTGTTGAGGGAAAAAATCGAGCATATAAGAAGAATCGCAGAAAGGAAACTTAATTCTCAATCAATTCCCGCTTGGAATGAAATGAAATGCATATGAAATGTACAATTTAAGTGTGGGAGAGTCATGCTTCGGCACGAATGGGCCGGCTCGACCGGAGTGATACCACGGCCTTACAGAAAACGGACGTGAAACAACGCTTGCGTTGTGTTTCGTCGTGTGAGTGAGGTTACCGGAGCCCCAATTACCCTCCCCTTCCCCAATCTCCCGAATCCCTGAATCCCCAACGATCCTCAAACTCCTAATCCCCAAAAAGCCGGTAACGCACATGTAACGCCTCTAGTGTTCCAGGTGTCCATGGGCGACACCGATTGCTTACCATCAGGTGATCCGTCTGATCGTTTACCGGCTTATGCCTTAAAAAAAAACAGAGCAAATCCTAGTATAAAGAGTTATGTTTAAAATGGAAACGTGTATTATGAACTAATGATCCCTGACACTTACCGACATCGTTACTTGCATTAAGACTAGTTATGTTAGCGTTCTTCAACTGTTGCCTTCTCTCTTCAATTACTTTTTTAGTGTGTTGGTGTAATACCTTCAATGCTTTCGTTTGAATTGCCTTATGCCGGGTTAAATTAAACACTGCGTCTGGACCAAGAATTGGAATTTGTATTCTCATGGCTACTATAGCAGACATTCTGTAATAATTAAAATTGTTGATTATTTTGTAATTTTAATTTGATAAATTAACTATGTAAAATCTCTACAGATGTTATTTTTCTACTTACTCTTCAATTGATTTCACATAGGCAGATTCGCTTTCATGTCCTTGAGCGTCGACGCTGATACCCATAATGGATTCTGGAAAAGAAAAAAGTAAAATATCAGCTTATGTTCATTTGCACGGAGCTAACAAATGCCGTACTCCATCGCCGTAACTGCCTCGGAAAGTAAATAGAACATTGAAAACCAGAGCTTCCAAGAATCCTATCGGAACATATGAATTTAAGAACAGAGATACATCTGTGCATTATACTCCTGAGCATTGAAAGTCATCTATGAAAAACTAAATTTGAGAGTTTAGCTACCAAGACTGAAACCGACGAGGACACGTAATTAATTACTGAAAATGTCACCTGTAACATTATCAAGGGCAGCCAAAGCGACAATAGGGAACATGTCAATCGGGCGGCCGTCGGCGAGTCCTCGGAGCTTCTCCGTCAGCACGCGCTGGTTCTTGCAGAACACGGGAAGGAAGTTCTGCAGGATGTTGAAGTGGAACGCGGGCGTCAGGAACCTTCGATGACTCTTCCATCTTTGACCTTGACAAATAAAGAACAAATTCATTAATAATTATTCTTTCTTCTTTGCAATAAAAAGTTGTTTCTGTTGTATATTCACCAAAAAATAGGTACATTTTCTTCACAAAAGATGACAACTAAAATCCTCTTAAGTTTGAACCCATGCTAACATTAATATTTAATTGTCTTTATTTTTTGAGAATTAATAAATAGGATAAAAGTGACCTTTACAAGAGAAGGGCTTATGTTATGTAGAGATTATAATTCAAATGAACTAAATCTATGGAAGTGCAAATGGGCTTACCTCCAGCAGTGAGTAGACCTTGACCAAGCCAACATTCCAGCAGTTTGTAGGGTCCACCTTTGCTGATGTGCTCCTGACTCGATACTATCTCCTGAAATATTTCAAAATTATTCCATTATCATAGCATTCCTTAGAACCATCATTATTTTTGTTAAAACGGATGCGATTTTGTTTGATTTATAGTAATAATAATAAAAGAATAATAAATGTATACCTAGATATGTATAGATATGAATAGATGAAACCACTCACCTGAGCGAATTTAGCATCACAGACGATCACAGTCGGAACCGACAGAAAATGCACACGGAACACTTTGCCATACTTTTCCGAATAGCGTGTGACCAAGTCCAAGAACTCTGCAACAAAAACAAACAAGTAGGTAATGAAACTGGTTCCCAACGACATTTTAATCAACGATTAATTTATCATCATCATTATTGTTTTTATTGCAAAAACTGGCGAATAAACTTGAAATGGCAAAATTCTCCGACTTACATATTATAGCGTGAACATTTACATAACAAAAAGTTGTTCGATTTTTAATTTATCAAGTAAATACTTCTACATATTTAAGGATGTAAGTAAGAATCCATTAATTTCGTTAAAGTTCAATGAATTAATTTCACATGGGTGCTATTTTTATTGCACTTTTTATCGCAATTTTTGATAAGGCTAATCAAAACATGTAGATTCCGTAGAATTGTTATGTAATTATTATATTTATAACAACAATCATCCGAACAGAACCTCGTCCTTTTCTCGAAGTCTCTCTGTTCCCCTGAACTATACGAATTATTTCGTGGTTGTCTCGTACGTTTATTCTTAGTGTATTGTATTTGTGTATCTCTACCTTCGGGGACTACGAGGTATATATTTCCTCTCGGACAAGTGAAACAAGTGAAACAAGTGAAACAAGTGAATTTATTTCTGCAAATAGGCTACAAGGCAGCACTTTTACACGTCAATTTTATCAAGCGAACGATGAGGTCGACATTTCCTAACTGACTACTCTGAGAAGAAATGCCGAAACAAACTCAGAGGTCTGTCTCTTTTAACAGACAGACCTTGTCTTTATACCTTATATTATAACAAAGACGACGAAGAAAAATTATGCAACTCAGTGCAGTCGTTCAAGAATTACGCGCATATAGACATATAATCATTTGTTTGTGTAAAACTATGGACTTATGTCAATATTATTATACTAATTCACACCATATATTTCCTTGGACATTTATGTAAACATTTATTACACCTACATCTGTTTATAGTACCATACTAGAGGTATTATCGTTATAAATAAAAGCAATATAAATAAGTATGTACCTATTTTTCTGGACAGAACGAACAAAGACGAAAAGAAATGAATGTTGTTTAAATTAAGAACAAAATACAATATTAATTATATTAATTAATTTTTATTACATACCAACATCATTATTTAAAAAAATCTTACCTGTAGATTTAGCCATGAACATGTGAGCATTGCCGATAATAGGTAAGGGCATCGGCCCATTGATATTAAACCGGCGACTCTCTCTAACTAAACTAATCCATGACACTAATAAACCTAACACTAAAATAACAGATACTAAAAACAAAATCATTTTGGAAACACTGGCACTATGTAGTATTTTTTTTTTTAATATTATTAAGACATTGACGACCGATCAGTACGCAGGATTGACGAAAAGGATCTCAACTTAACGCAACCAGTCTATGCTAAAATTAGTATTGTATGTAAACCAACAATTTACTAGTCCGACTATTAATATTTGTACCAGAAACCTTATTCCTTTGCTAATAAGTACTAAATTGCTCTGATATTTCTCAAGGTCTTCTCTTTAAAGAAGTACTTTGCAAGTACATAAATGGATGGAAAACGAATAACACGTAGGAAGTAAGACACGTCTTAAATACTGAATGAGCTGTTTTAAATCAAGTTATATTTATACTAATGATAAGCAATAAATCGATAATATTTATATAACAAACAGAAGTATATGATATGTTATCTTCTCTTACATAAAAAAGTATATATTGGTCGTTAGTTACGATATAACATACACCCATGTAACAATTTTGATTCCAATCATATTATTTCGAAAACTTTTGGTACAATTACCCTCCCCTTCCCCAATCTCTCCAATTCTTGAATCCCCAACGGTCCTCAAACTCCTAATCCTCAAAAGGCCGGTAACGCACTTGTAACGCCTTTGGTATTCCAGGTGTTCATGGGCGACGCCGATTGCTTACATTCAGGTGATCCGTCTGCTCGTTTACCGGCTTATACCATAAAAAAAATAGAATTCATCGTACATAAACGTTTTCAATTTATTGCATAAGTATGTAGGTATATTAGATAATTACAAAAATCTGAATTAACGTATTAACAATAACATCGCGCCTTTTGATCACCGAAAGAATAGGTAGAGGTGTACACTTATACTTAATGCAACATTTTAACCCGTTATGTAACTACGTAGAAAAACTTAGGTACCCGTTACGTAAAAAAATACTCAGTAGTAGCACGGAGTCTGGAAATGTACCCGGTATAGGGCAATAGGCTCACCCCCTATTACATGGGACTCATAACATAAAAAGAAAAAAGTGGGTGTTACATTGTACTGTGGCATAATGTGCACCTCTGCCTACCCTTTCGGGGATAAAAGGCGTGATGTTATGTTATGTGTGTAATTACGTTAAAGATACTTTTCACGAAGTTTGTTATTAAAATATTTCTTTGTTAAGGTTCCAAAAATCGAACACGTTGGATATTCGTGATAGTAGGTACCTATTGAAACACAGATGATTTTGCATTTTTTTTTTGCATCATTTTTTTGGGGTCTGCTCAAAGTCCAATATAACTTAGGTATTCAATATGCTATGTCATTGATTGTTAAACATGTTTGAGATAACTCAAACGAATTATATTAACATGTTATGATTACCGACTTTATTCAAACATTTAATTATGTTAACTTGTGATAGCGACAAAGTGGACGATATTCCATTATAATATATAGTGGATTATATATTTAGTAGAATATATGAATTTATCACCACTCCTCTACGAGATGTCGTAAGAAAATGGGCAACACGGCTCTCTCATGAAGATTTACTTTTTAGTAGGTGATGTTCTATGCTATCCCATCCCATCCCACCTGCCACGCGTGAATTTTATGGCTTACACCTGTTATATAGAAGAGTTTGAATTGTTACGAGGCCATTAATTAATAAATGATGTCATCATCAACAGCCTATAAATACCCACTGCTCAGCAAAGCCTCTTCTCACACGGAGAAGGTTTGAGCATTAATCACCACGGTTGCTCATTGCAGATTGGTGATTTCAAACTTATAATTAGAAATTGTAAGCCTAGGTTTCCTCGCGATGTTTTTCTTCACCGTTTGTCAGTTAATAAATGATGAGCAGTTTTAAATTAACAATTTTTTGCAACGTATCCCTTTGGAAACATTTCTATATAATTATACCTACGTTACTTTATTTGTATTAATAATTACATTATTTTTAATAACAGTACAATCGAAAATAGTTTCTGGTGTATGATAAAAACTTGCCCCCTACCAAATGACACATACTGGTTAACAATACGATACGATATCAGTCAGTAAACAGTCTCAGGCAGTCTCACTGTGGGGGCAAAGGCCGTTTTTCATACGGAGACGAAACGAACATTGATCACCACTTAACTTTAGGCGAATTGGGGATTTAAGTACAAGTTTAAGTAATAATAATAATAAATAACGTAAAACTTGAAAATAATAATATTGGGCATTATCAGATTTGCAATTGTTTAGTAGGTAGCACTTTAGAGAAGCGAGCGACTTGAGGCTTTCCAAATTATTTTTTTTATATGTTTTATGGGCCTACGTTTGACCACTATCTCGCCTGGTGGTAAGCAATGATGCACGGTCTACGATGGAGCACGTCGTCCCATAAGCAACCTATGCACTTGGGCCTTGAAGACACCCAGGTTATAACCCTTCAGGAAATACAGACTCTGGCAAATAATTCCACTCCTTAGCAAGTATACCTTTTTATTGGATTTCTGTAAGTTGTATGGCTTCGGAAATACCGCCAACGGCAGTTTACAGGTTGATTCTTTTAAGATATTTATGTGCTTGCTTTGGTTCTACTTTTCAGTTGTTGGAGATGACTGTCTCAGTAAGTATATCTGTCTCAGCCTATTGCCAAATTCCAAACATAGACAGACCTCATGTTAGAATTTTAAAAATGATGAATATTTTTTAAAAGAATTCTGACAAAGAATTCCACTCCTTAACAGTACCCACAAGGAAGCTTGATGCAAAGCGCCTCATACGTGTGGGTGGGACATCTATACCAACTTACACGTCTATTATTATTTTATTAGTATTGAATGTCATAGAAATGAGAAAACGCATGTCATGTCTACATAAGATTAATAAGATACATAATTGATAAGATGTTATTAATAATTATCTATAGGTACGACAATTGTATCTCTTATCTAATTTTTTTTTAATCTAAATTTTGCACTAGCTACTATCCACATATTCCGTATTTGTAATGGGTCTAATCATTGCATAAGACGCCTTGTTCATACTGTCCATTACATTATAATTATCTCAACAAACATTGTATTTATACTGCGTCAGAAATTATAAAATGTTATGTGTTTCAAAATAAATACAACTTGACGAACAACTTAACGAGTTACCGGGGCTCCCTGCTCGAAGCAGGAATAAGAACGGGTTGGGTTTTATTCAGTAACAGCCTTCACCCAAGGAGAAGGTGAAGAAAACATTTGATGATTTTCTCCCCTCAAAAACATAAAATACAATAAAAAGATATCGGTCGAATTGAGAACCTCCTCCTTTTTAGGTAGTCAATTAAAAACAGTTCCACAAGAAGCACAGAGTTGTGAACTACCAAGTCTGCCAACTATCCAAAAAGTGGGGAATGGAGGAACTGCTAAAGGGGGCTGAGGCAAAATAGATGAGGCAAGGATTAGTCCAAATAAATCATCCACGTCCAGTAAATTAAGTCAGATCTAATGGTTGCTGATACTGCGAAACTTGTAGATGACCGTCCTCAAAGAAGACTTCGTCTTCTATATGGAGTTGAAACATAAGGACTAACAGCGGAACAGTACAACATATCCACCAATTCAAAATAGCGTAACAAACTATAGCTGTAGTATCTATAATTAATTGCGTATAAATGAAGTGTTAAATTCAGTAATTGGTAGATTATTAACCCTGATCTTGCTTCTCATACTTTTTAACGTTGTGACTAACTCCTAGGTATCTCGATTTTATTTTACACATACGCAGAAACATAATTCGTTTACCTATATGTATCTAAAACATGACCTAGGGACAATAAGGCACCTACTAAGTATGACTTAGCATGTCCGAAAAAGGAGTGCTCTGTTTAATCTACATGTTATTTACCGCTGTGCATAAAGATAGATTTCAATACAATTTCGTTATTATTGTTATTGTGTATGTCTTTACCATTCACGGGACCGCAGGGTCCCGGTCATTTGGGAGGCGTAGGAGGGGCCGAAGCCAAAAGCACAGAGGCCCTTTAGACAACTTCAATCTAAATGTAATGGACACACAAACCGGCGACTATCCCCGTATGCACTATGGAAACGCACCCAAGAACAGTCCCCGGTTAGTGAAGAACTATTGTGGATAATGGAAAAAAAGGTAGGACTATGGATGGGTTGCTGTAGACTGGTAAATTGGGAACTATGGATGACTATGGCACCTGCCGAAACAATGTAAGAATTACACGTAAAAATGCCCGGCGGAGACTCGCCAACTCACCGACCGGGCCCCGGGAATGGTTACTAGATGTACCAACAGAGGGACAACGGAAATTATTAGTATTATAGTTACTAATCTTAGCATATTTTTATTTCTTGGGTTATTCATGTTATTAAACATTAGGTGTTACGTCTCACAGACGTCTCTATTAAAGGCCACTTTTAACGATTTAGTTATAGATAAGTGGAATACTGCATGGCTCGATTTTTTGCGTCTTCTAAAAACTTCGACTTGCCATAGTCATGACTATCGCATGTGAACCATGTTAAATATCAACAAAAGTCTCCCTTTTGAGAGGGGATTTGCCATCCGGGTAGACAGGTAGACCCTCGAAAGGAAGGTGGTTTGGTTAGGTGTCAAAGTTTGTAGATCATCGAAAGAGACAATGCTGCTGACCTTCTCTGGTGGCTTATTAACACACGGTGATTATCGATCGATTTTTAATGGATTGGTTTAGATTTTTGACAGAAAATTAATAGAAATAATGTAATAATCGATCTTAATTTAAAAGTTTTGTGTTGAAATCTATTATAAATTCATTAAAAAATAGAGTATCGATTGATAAGTTGAGATCGCCTGATAACACTCATATTTCTGATCTCTATTACTACATGTCCATTACGGCTAACAATGCTGTAGTTAAGCTATATTTGGGCAATGTTTAAGAGTCCCCGCTCAAATGTCTCAGTTAATAATGTCGCCTGTTTACGTGTATACTGTAACCCATAACCACGTTTATGAGAGCCCTTAAACTTTACGATGTCTAGTAAATTGAATGAAGTGACTTAGGATTTTGTGTGAGTACTGTAATAAACAAACTAGTAAATATTTCTTTAGTACTCAACTTAGGTGTCCTATGTAGACTCACTGTACAATCAACGTAAATATTTTCTCTTCTTTCTTTTAAAAAAACGTGGCCCCACATTACGATTTTATTCTGTGTCGTGGGTGCGTTTACAAACATACAAGTTCACATACACATGACACCCAGACCCGCAACAACAATTTGTGGATCACATAAAGAGTTATTCCGTGCGGGAATTGATCCCGCTAGGCCGCTACACGTCGCGTGGTACGCGGTTGCCCAGCCAACGCGCCAACCGTGCAGACTTTAATAATATGTCAGGAAATTGACGTGATTACAACGGATTTTTTGAGGGGATAAAATCATCAAAAGACTTTTCCCGCCTTAGGTGATGCGACAGGAATTGTGAGAGTCTTACCTACTAACTACAAACCCCCGTTCCTACTCCTGCGTCCTCCAAAATCTAGTTAGGTTTTTTTTTAGGGGGGAAAATCCTCCCGCCTAGGTGAGGCGGGAGCAGTCATTCGATAAAAACCACCCCGTTCCTTCTTCTGCACGTCGAGCCGGAGCCCCGGTTACCCGTTAGGTTCTCCGCGACTCCGAATCGGCATCGGCCCTATTGGGCCCCATCTGTAGTGGTCTGATGGCTCTTTGAGGCGCGCGCGGAACGCGACGCGCTGTACGTTCGGGTAAAATCTAGTTAGGTTAGATTCTTTCGAACAGAGCTTTTGAAAGAATCGACCTACAGGATTTTGTCTGCAAGAAACATTGCCCCACACTAGTTTTTTCTCCTGTGTCGTGGGTGCGGTTACAAACATGCAAGTTTGACACCCAGAATCGTAACAACAAAGAGTTGTTCTGTGCGGGAATCGAACCCGCGACACGTTACGCAGCAGCCAGTTGCCCAGCCACCGCGCCAACCGTGCAGTCTTAATTAAAAAATAATGAATTGATATAAAAATACACCATGTTAAGTAACTTTGCGCAACTAGTTTTTGTACAAACTTGTAACAGTTTTAAAGTTATTTACTTGCTAAGATGTTCAAATACTTATAAGTACCTACCTACTTAGTACATACAATAAAATAAATTACGTACATAATTTGTGCATAATTTTGTGTTATTGATAAATATTATATTACATAGGTATAGATAAATAAATACACAACCGATTAGTCGGTCTGATTAGATAGATTATATAGATAGATAGATATGGCGCCGACTTCTAACCTATTAGTGGGTGGGTAACCTATCAGTACTCGCGAAGTCGCGAGACGATCTCCGGCCACCGTAAGCGCGGGCTTGCGGACGGCGAGCATAGGTGGTTCCCCGTCCGACCAGAAACAGACCCGAGCGTACGACGCCGAGCGTTCCGCGCGCGCCTCAAAGAGCCATCATACCACCACAGATGGGGTCCAATAGGGCCGATGCCGATTCAGAGTCGCGGAGAACCTAACGGGTAACCGGGGCTCCGGCTCGACGTGCAAGAGAAGGAATGGGGTGGTTTTTAGTCAGTAAGAGTCTGACACTCCCTCCCGCCTCACCCAGGCGGGAGCAGTCATTCGATGATTTTCCGTTTCCCCCATTAAAAAAAAACCTATCAGTACTAATGATAGTTATTTTTTTTCTTTTTAGTTTTGACTTTTTGTTGTTATTAGTTAATAGTTTTTTGAAGTCGATTTTTTAAATGCCGTGATGGCCCGGAGGTTTAAGACGCCCACTTCTCATGCATGAGTGCGGGTTCGAAACCTACCAACGGCAAGTACCAATGTGACTTTTTCCGAAATATATGTACTTTCTAAGATTATTTAGACACCACTGACAAACGGTGAAGGAAAAACATCGTGAGGAAACCTGGACTTATAATTTCTAATTATAAGTTTGAAATCGCCAACCCGCATTGAGCAAGCGTGGTGATTAACGCTCTAACCTTCTCCGTGTGAGAAGAGGCTTTGCTCAGCAGTAGGCATTTATAGGCTGTTGATGAAGGGAATTTGTTTGTTTTTTTTTATTCGAAAATGACCTTAAACTAATTTTTGTACAACTTTTACATTAATGTACCTAAATGTACCTACCTACATTATATTCAATCAAATACATTACATGGGGTAAACTCATATAAATATGTATATAGTTTTGAAATAAATTGCTTGGTATTTTTCCACAGCGGACGCCGATTATGAAAAGTATGAAAAGTAGTTAGTAGACATGATCTTTATCTTTAGTAATTTTATCTTTTATTTAGGTACCTATCTGTACAATTTCCCTTGGTTATCGCGTCGCGCGAGAACAGGTGGGCCAATTTCGTTTTTTTTTTTTGTTTTGTTTATAAATGTTCAGAGAAAGTTTTTACATAAAAGAAACCATAACTATTATTAACATCTAGATCCGGAAAAATAATTTGTTATCTAAACAAGACACCTATGTTCCGCGTGAGAAACGAACCTGCACCACATTCGTATAGTTCACACCCAGTCATTGTACCAACACGGTCGACTATAAAAATTCAGGTAACGCGGCTGGCAGAAGCGAATGTTCATAAACATGGAGCAACGCTTTTGTGTTTAATATCTTGCATTTCTACCAGACAATGTTAGAACATTATGATGACGCCTGAAACTTAATGGGCCACGGTACCCACAAAGTTTAATTTACTTACTCCGAGAAAGATCACTTGCGAAACGCAATGATGAGATAAATTCAAACTTGAGACAAAGGTTGTAAAGGGAAATTACTTCGGATGTTGTAAGCACTTCATTAAACCTAAATGTTGAATTGTGGTTCGCACCTCCGTCCTACCTAATGATTTCATTAAAAACTTGGTATTTAATTTTAAAACCTCACTTTATTCTACAAGTGACAAAGTGTTTGTACCTACCGATCATTCAACGGCATGAAATAGGCAAGTTTGAAGTTCAAACTAAAGGTTTTTTTATGGAATAGGAAGCAAACGAGCAGACGGATCACCTGATGGTAAGCGATCAGCACCGTCCTATGGACACCCGCAACACCAGAGATGCCACAGGTGCGTTGCCGGCCTTTTAAATTTAAAGAGTAATACGCTCTTTTCTTGAAAGTCACATCGGTTCGGAAATACCGCTGACGACATAGAAAGTTGAGAAAGATTTATGTTTGTTTCTTTATTTCGTTCGCGTTGTATGAAGTTATTATTTTGTAATCATTTCAAGTTTGATATTGAGTTTTAAGCTACACGATCACTCTTAGGGCTAGATCCTCGCTTTGTGTAAAGGTGACATCATCCGGCTGATGATGATAACAAAACCTTTTTTCAACGTCCTTGAACGCGTTAAATTCGTTTTCATTGTATTCAGGCCCACCACCACCACCCAATCAGGGGGGCGGCAAATCGAGCAACACTTTATATAATATTTAAAATCATTGTTATCAGAGTAAACAGAAAGCATAAAAAATATCATTCCATTTCACGAACATTGTCAATGACATTTAAACAAATATTAAAAGACTAGGTACTAAGTTCTGACGGGCAACTAAAAAAAATTTATTGTCAATGTCAGCTGTCATTTTTGACAATCTTGACTTGATGTTATCAGCATTGACAGAACCATCATGTTATTTTTCTAAATCAAAACAGAGCACGTTGGTGCACAAGTTGAAACTTATCATCATAATTACCCACTTTTGAACTCTTGGAGACAGAATTTAACTCAACCAGTTTGTACATATCTATACGTTTCATTGGAATATACAACATTAGTATCTCCAGTGCTTTTTCAACTGTTGATAAACAAGAAACTTCGTCTTGAGTATTAAACATAAGAAAAACCCTGAAAAATGAAGGTGACTGAGGTAATTATGGCTATTTTTCTCTCCTAATTTTAATACGATATATTTTATTATTTATTTGTTTAAACTAAGTGCTCGTAATGTAAGTTACAACTTGTCTATTTACATAACCTTGGCTACCTCATACCTGTGAACTTAGTTTGTACACTGCTATAAATGTAACAGTAAACACAAAACTTTTCAAGTTATATATATATATACTCTCTCACTAATGTATTATATACAATGAATGAAAATATTGTTAGGAAACTTGAATTTATAACTTCAAAGTTAACCAAACATGGTGACAAATTTTTCAAGCTCATTCCTTTTTGCATGTACTAAAAGCCCATTTCCCTGCAGCGGGATAGTTACAGACTGATGAAATAATGATAAAATACATTATTTATTATTTATTTATCAATAATAAAGGTAGAATAATAATTATAATTAATAATAATATACATGGACTATAATAATCTTATAAATTGTTTTCAGTTACCAGGAGATGAAGACTCAGGCCCAACATGCAGGACTTATGTATTTCAAAACGAAAGCCACACATTAGGCAATGCATTGAAATGCATTATTAATAGATAGTAAGTATCAAACATTTTAAAACTAAAAATAGTTCATAAACTCTCAAACTTATGGTTTCAGTGAATAACTCACATAATTTTTTAAAGATGATATCAAGACTACAAATTACGTACTAAAAATTATTCATGTTTCCCGTGATCCTTAACTGGCTGGCAAATGTTCTTTGGGTTGGTAGTTCGTCGAATCAGTCAGCCTCACCTGTTAATTGAGCTGACTGTAAACCATCACATGCGTACTGCCTTCAGAACGAGTCCGCTCAAACTGTTGTGGTTCTTTCCTCAAAAGGCCACTACAGAAAGAACTGGCACGGTTCTCACACATAATCTGTCATACATATTGTCTGGACTTTAAAAGAGACAGGCCTCTGAGTTTGTTTCGGCATTTCTTCTCAGAGTAGTCAGTAAGGAAATGTCGACCTCATCATTCGCTTGATAAAATTGACGTGTAAAAGTGCTTTGTTAAAGTAAAAGTGCATTGTAGCCTATTTGCGGAAATAAATTCACTTGTTTCACTTGCTGAACAATTTATTGAATATAGATTATAGTTTGGTATTATCAACCAGTGGTAACTACAAGGTGGCAAGTCTGCAAAATGTCACATGCCCCTAGTTGGATGGGACTCCAGTTCAGAGAATTTCAACTGAATTTCTGTTTTTTATTCAGAATGGGGGCCTATCCCACGAATTTGCCTCAGGCCTTGAAAGGGTATAGTCACTTGACTGTTATGAACAGAAGATTCTTCCAAACAAATATTGAACATGGGTCTGTGGCGGGACCGCTACCTACTAATATAATTACATATACTACTTACTAATAAATTTTGTGTTATGTTTACAGTGAGGATGTAGACTTCTGCGCCTACACAGTCCCACACCCAGCAGAAAACAAAATGCACTTTAGAATCCAAACAAAAAAGACACCAGCGCTAGAAATATTAAAAAGAGGTTTTCAAGATTTAGAAAAAGTATGTGAACACACCATAGATTTATTTGAAAAAGAAGTAAAAGAGTTTAATAAAATGTAATAATTGTTTTTCATTGTTTATTATTTATTTAAATTACATACACGCCGTCTATGATATTATTCCTTGCGGGCCTGCGGACGGCGAGCATGGGTGGCTCCCCGTCCGACCAGAAACAGACCCGAGCGTACGGCGCGTCGCGTTCCGCGCACGCCTCAAAGAGCCATCAGACCACCACAGATGGGGCCCAAATAGGGCCGATGCCGATTTGGAGACGCGGAGAACCTAACGGGTAACCGGGGCTCCGGCTCGACGTGCAGGAGAAGGAACGGGGTGGTTTTTGGTCAGTAAGAGTCTGACACTCCCTCCCGCCTCACCCAGGCGGGAGCAGTCCTTCGATGATTTTCCCCCCTTAAAAAAATAAAAAATGATATTATTCCTGACGTAATAAGAGGAGTACATTGGGCACACATCAGAACTTCACGCCTTTCTCCCATGGGGATAGCCTGCTAGGCAGAGACTATGGAAATGTTATATCAGCTTTTTACCAGTATAAGTATTTATGCTACTAGGGTATTTCCTATATGGTTGACTTGGCATTCACCTCACTAAATAAAGTGCGAACAGTTTTAATCCATTTCCTAAAATTACGCCCGCTCAATGATTCATATAACTAAGCTAGATACTTCTGCCCAATTTCATCCGCTCTGCTCGGCTGCAATGGCTGCTACCGATTGTAGTGTGATGTTTTATAGCCATCCTCGATTAATGGAGTATCTCACAAAAGTAATCAATAAATTCGAACCAGCCGTTCTGGAGAATAACGCATTCAAACAAATCAAACTCAAAGCATAAGAAATACCATTCCATTTCTTAAGCTACGTAGGTAGGTATGTAATCATTCTAGAAATATATTAAGCGCGTTCATACAAATTCTGCAGCTTTATTAAGAATTAGATTATGGTGTACGCTGGGCTGTCCAAACAAAGGCCCGCGGGCCTCATGCGGCGCGACACGCATTTTAATCTCTCAACATCTTCATCTTATGTGCAACAACCATAATAAAATTCGTGTGCGTTACCCAGGCCAGATGTTGTCGGATGGTCATTTGAATCTTATAGTTGTGCGGCTTCTGTAATTTTTGCGCACATTTTTAAATTTGTTGCGCCGATAGTTTTGTAATTATTTCAGAAAAACATTATTTTCCTGCTGAGGTAACGTTACCTCAGCCAGACCTTTTTCTTTCGAATGGGAATATTTAAATAATTACTAGCTATAAAATTAGTTGTCGAGATGGAAGTAAATTTTGTGCAGTTTTCAATTTGTTTAACAAATTTGAACTAATTCCTAAGAAGCCATGTACCTAGGTAGGTACCAAATATGATAAGAATCCGCTATTCAAAGATCTAGCAAAATCAAAAACGTTACCCCAGCAAAATCTCGAATAACTTGGCAACCGATGTAGGCAAAGGGTTCCTTTACAAGTAGGTAGGTAGGTACCTACCCTGTCCCCACGCAGGTATGTCGTAGTAGGTACTAATGCAATAGAACAGTAGAAACTTCTTACTAGAATAGCTATTGGGTATAACTTAGGTACCTACTCCTGTAAGTTGGGCATGTTATTAATAAAGCAACAATATTATAATGGAAACATTTCTTTCTGATAAGTTCTGTTGTACTAAGTGACATTCTCAAATAGTAGGCATAAATTATAGACAATTATAGATAGCTGTAACAAATAAAATTACAAAGGTAAGGTGTTAAATTTTTTTATTTCAGTTTTAGTGAAACTGTCTTAAGCCTTGAACTCTGAGTAAGGGGACTTGGTCAATGGAATGTCCCTCCACAAGTCAGGAGTCAAGTACGCATAGGTCTTAGCGATAGCAGCATAAGTGGCCTTGGCAAAGTTTCCGAGGGTGCCAGTGGAACCACGAGCAGAGGTGTAGCAGTCCTGGACACCAGCCATCTGAAGCAGCTTTTTGGGCACAGGAGCTGACACAATACCAGTACCACGAGGAGCAGGGATCAGTCTTACAGTGACTGAACCACACTTTCCAGTGACCTGAAGACAATAAATTAAAACATCTCAGTTAATCTAGTTCATATAAAAATAAATCGATATTTTGAAGATGATAAATCAGACGCGTTAACATACTTCATTGGAAACCTCAAGTGGATACCACGAATGAGATGATTATCAGTTTCATCATGAAATTTCAGTAAAAAATAAGTTAAAATGGCAGGGGTTTATAATTACCTTGCAAGGTACTGTGTGGGGCTTGCCGATCTTGTTACCCCAGTAACCTCTGCGGACTGGAAGGACAGACAGCTTAGCGAGGATGATAGCACCACGGATAGCAGTGGCGACTTCCTTGCTGCACTTCACACCTAGACCAATGTGTCCATTGTTGTCTCCGATAGCCACGAAGGCCTTGAAACGAGTACGCTGACCGGCACGGGTCTGTTTCTGTACCGGCATGATCTTGAGAACCTCATCGTTGAGAGAGGGGCCGAGGAAGAAATCGATGATTTCGAACTCTTTGATGGGTAGAGAGAATAGGTAGATGCTTTCGAGTTTGTCGATCTTTCCCTCGCGTACGAGACGGCCCAGTTTGGTTACGGGCACCCATTCCTTTTGGTCTTCCTTGCCGCGTCCACGGCCGCGACCACGACCGCGTCCACGGCCACGAGGACCGCCACGGCCTCTATCGCCACCACGAGAACCAAAACCTCCGCGAAAACCGCCACGTCCACCGGCTGGAGCTGCGTCCGCCATTCTGTAAAATCAGAGGTTAGGCATACGAATTAGCATCATGATGGTAAACTATCTTATAGTATCAATATTTTGAGACAATCAGACGCGTTAAAAAAATCACCATGTGTAAACACTCAAGGTACCACGAATGAATTCAGTTTTCTCATCATGAAAATATAAAAACCACGTGGTGGTAAATTGCACACTTTACACTTTGCTAAAATAGTGTAATAATAGAATTCAAACCAACACAAGCATAACAAGATATATATACATTAATAAACTATATAATAAATACAATTACTAACAAAAATTACTTAATAATTACAAAAATGAAATATTAACTTACGTTGAACTGTGAGCGCAGTGAGACAGTCAAACTCAAAATGGCCGAGAAATGGTTGGCGTTCCTGACTTGACATTAACTTAGTGATGTACCTATAGTTTCAAATCGATTTACTGACTCCACTCTTTTTTTTTATAATAGTGGTAGTGGTTTTGTACAAGATGCACATACAATATTTAAACTTAAAAGATATTATTATAAATTAATTTTATTTGAAGAAACTATTCGTTGATTTTTAATATTACTCGTATTCATTTTTTTATTTGTTTTGATGTATTACGTATTGGTAAAACAAATGCAATGATTTTTTGTCATTAATATTATGTTATAAGACTTAAATCCAATTTACTCAACTTATTTTCGAGATCAAAATTGAAATCGAGTTAAAACTCAACTCGTATTCCTAGTGGTATTATATAGTTATTCAAGCGGGTCGGGTACATCTCTACGTTATTCAGTTGATCAGTTCAGACTTGATTGACTATGGTTGCTTTGACACATTGGGTTTTGGTCTTTGACCAAGGTATGATTCAAATCTATACCCCTTTTTTACGTCTGTGTATATACCTTGCCTTTAAAAGGTTTAATGTTCATAACAAGATAGATCGTGTACGGCACATTTAATTACGCACTTTTTATTTAATAAGTAACAGAAAGCTCCGTACAATGAGCAGTGATTATTGATATGATCAAAGATTATCATATCAGTGGATATGATGCAGTGATCGAGAGCACTATTCCAACCAAGGATGTTGAAAAAATTGAATTCTGGCCCTGGGCCCTGGATGATGCATGAATTCAATTCATTTAAGTCAGTCAAATCATTTGACTTTATTCAGATGATGAATAAAACAAATTCTTATTTTAAACTTGGCTTTATTTTACAAGATTTTTTTTATAATATGAAATATATAAAAATTAACATTTAATAGTAACAACTTCAAATGTTTTTCGTGTTTTATCTTGCACAACGAATGGAAACGTTTCAATACCATTACACGCGGCCCCGTATTGACCATTTTTGGTTAAAGCTATTACAGCACCCATGAAATCAGGATGATGTGCTGAGATTCTTTTGATTGCAGTTTTCGCGGCATCCGTTGGTGATGCGCCTCGACGCATTTCCTCTACTGCTAAGAAACTATAAAACAAAAAAAATATTCAGCACACTCACACACCCATGATTCAGTAAAAAATATTTTTATTTAAATGAAGCTTTCATATTTGGGTAATTCGCCACTCGCATTACAAGTATAATTTAGAACCCTTCCCCCCACTGACATTTCGAGATATTACACCGTCAGTCATTTACTCAGTACCTAATAAGAGTTTAAGTATGTTGATTGACTAAGGAGATACTAACCTAGGTAGAAACCTCATCATGGTGTCGCCGTCACCAGTAGCTGCTGCTCCTCCTACTGTATTGTCAGCGTAAGCCCCTGCACCGGGAATGGGAGAGTCGCCTACTCTTCTATTAAAACAAATGACAATCATATAAAAATACAAATAAGGGCCTATGAACACCACGTTTTTTAAACGCGCCGTCGACGCGCGTTTTGCGAACGCGCGTCGCCGGCACTTTTTTATTCTGCAGAGCAGTTTGTTGTCGTTTGTATCGATACAATCGCGCGGCACCGGCGCGTGTGTATCGATACAAACGCGCGGCATGAATCTATGCTAGTAGCAATCGAGCGATTTGGTGCACCGCACGTCTTTGGAACAAAAAAATGGAGCCTTTCAACACAGAAAACTACATAAGTGAAATTCAAAACCGGCCAATATTTTAAATTTTAAGTTTGTATCGATACACACGCGCGTTTGCATCGCGTTTGTATCGATACACACGCGCGTTCGCATCGCGTCTGTATCGCTACACATGCGCGTCTGTATTTATACAGGTGTGCAAAGGTCTACAGGCTGCGTCTGATTTGCGTGCGTATCGCGTCTGTATCGCTACAAACGCGCGTCGACGGCGCGTTTAAAAACGTGGTGTGCATAGGCCCTTAGACAAGTAAAAAACTTTATAAAGTCATATTTATTTATGCCTTGACATGAAAATGGGAAAAATATTAATAAAAAATTATTATGATGACAAAGCATCTGAAGTTCAATTCCCAAGTAGAGCACAATGTATTTCAAATCTTTACATTTTCTAAATTATTGAGATTATTTAATTTTATATTGTAACATGTTTGTTGTGAACAGTAATATAAAATTAAACTGTTTACCCAGGTATTTTGAACTTAGCACCATTAGTAGAAGTACCAGCTGCTACATCTCCTTCACTGTCCACAGCAACCATACCGATGGTGTCATGATTATATCGGTCAACTACAAACACTTCAGGATGTATGTAATCAATAAAATTCCTCTTTTTATGATAAGGCCCACAATGTTTACGTGGATCTGGTTTCACATTCTGAAAGACACAAAAAAAAAAATAGCTGAATATATTTAATTGAAAATTTTCGTAAGTTGAAAGCTGCGCATACGAGCGTAGTGATTGCTATTACTAATACAAGCTCACCTTCCGAAAATTAGGTTGGCATTGTTTTTGAAACCGCCATTTTGACCATAATTCCATAGATTCATCGGTTGAAAGAGACTCTTCCTTGAATCCCATTTCAACAGCAAACTTTGTAGCCAATTCTCCAGCCAGGAATGAATGTTTTGTGTACTCCATAACATGTCGAGCAACTGATATTGCACTTTTTATCCTCCGTAGAGCTGCCACTGCACCAACATTCATTGTTTTCCTAAAAATGTTATTTAAAATAAGTGTTACATATTTTTTTCCCACTTTTCACTATTTACGTTAGGAATCAAATGTAATAGGGGGTGAGCCTATTGCCATATACAGGGCACAATAACAGGAACCCAGTAATAAGTACTTTGCCTGACCCGAGAATAAAACCCGAGACCCCTAGTCAGGTAGTCGCACTTGTGACCACTCAGCCAACGAGGCAGTTGATTATTATAGTAGCAAAATTTTCTTCTTTGTATGACCTGATGATTATTTATTTTAAACTTTGTTTGAATATTACAGACGTCATGAATGGTCTCAAATAAATAAAATTATTACATTTGTGTTACTTTGTTAGATATTTATGTAAAAAAACAAGAATAAAATAAAGAAATGTCCATTATCAATCAATACATAGTATAAAACAAAGTCGCTTTCGCTGTATGTCCGTATGTATGCTTAGATCTTTAAAACTACGCAACGGATTTTGATGCGGTTTTTTTTAATAGATAGAGTGATTTTTAATAGATAGATAGAGTGAGTGGGGAGTAAGGGGAGAACGGAGCACAACACCTATCCGGCCCTATCGTCAACCTCACCTGCCCGCACTGGTGGTTCTTCTCAGAATAGCTAGTGGCGCCAACCAAACGGGTTGGCGTGGTGCTCCCTGCTAGACAACGGACGAGGCTCTGGCGACCGAGCAATGGCGGTATAACCATACACCTGACCAGGCAACTGGTTGGTGGAGGCTTCAGCAGCCTTAAGGTCAAATAACCTTTAAAAAGTCTGGTACAGAAGGCAACGGGAAACCACTGTAACTAATCTCCCTAGTAGTCAGCTTCAATGGAAAAGTCTCATATAGCCGCGGCCCCGAGTTCCTGGCGTCCCTTAAATGGGACAGGGGTGCTAAGAATCCCCAGGCGGAAAACACTTAGAATAGGAACCTGGAATGTAAGAAGCTTAAAACAAGACGGAAAACTCCCTAATGTTACCAAGGAAATGAAACGACTGCAAGTGGACATTATGGGTATCAGCGATACCAAATGGCCAGGTCAGGGTAAGTTCTTCACACCTGATGATTGTGTTCTCTACTATTCTGGAACCGATAAACCAACAGAGAGATATGGTGTAGGAATTCTTTTAACCAACGAAATTTCCAAGTCAGTAACAAACTTTATCCCTTTGTCTAATCGAGCCATGTTGATCAGACTAGAGGCCAAACCATACAACATCAATATCATACAAACATACGCACCCACTGGAGACAAACCTATAACCGAAATAGACGACTTGTATAAAGATATTGCCACATTGCTGAAAATCGCAAAAAGCCATGAGGTTGTCATCGTTATGGGCGATATGAATGCGAAAGTGGGTTCCACTAATAGTCCCGGAGTAACAGGAGCTTATGGACTTGGTATCCGTAATGATAGAGGTGATGTGTTGGTAGAATTTTGTCAGGATAACGATCTTATAATTACGAACACCTTATTTAAATTACCACCTCGTCGTCTGTACACATGGATATCACCAATGCACACAGCTGAGCATATTGTGAGAAACCAAATTGACTATATAATGATCAACAAACGATACCGTAATTGTGTCAAAAAAGCTCAAACATACCCTGGTGCAGATATAAGATCGGATCATAACCCAGTGATCATGGATATCAGATGCAGGTTGAAAAAGTTACAGTCAAAAAGTATGAACAGGAAACCAGACATACGGAAACTTGCACAGCCTGAAACACGGGTAAAGGTGTGTAACGCTATTAACCAATGGGCCACAGATTACAGCACCAGAACCACTGATTGTGATCTCGACACATGGACCAGCTTGAAGCAAAACGTGTACGACATCTGCCAAAAATATCTGCCGCCATCTCGACTCGTTAAGAAACGGGACTGGATGACAGACTCAATTCTACAACTGATGGAAGAACGAAGAATACATAAGAACACAAATCCAGACAGATATAAGGAAACCGATGACACCATTCAGAGAGAGATCAGAAAGGCTAAGAACACCTATTATAGTAATAAATGCGCACATATGGAAGATCTCCTCCGCAAACATGACAGCTTTAATGCCCATAAACATATCAAAGAAATGGTGGGTCAAAGACGTAAACCTATTAATACCTTGACAGATAAAGGTGGAAATCTAATTCTGGACCCCGATAGTAAGAGAAGACAATGGTGTGATTACGTTTCGGAGATGTTTGCTGATTATTCAAGGAATATGGCTATAAGTACAGATAATACTGGTCCTTCGATTTTAAAATCGGAGGTTCAGCGTGCGTTGAATTCAGCCAAAACAGGCAAATCACTCGGACCAGACAACATACCCATCGAGATCCTAAAACTATTGGAGGAAGATCAATTGGAAACGCTGACACAGTTCTTCAATTATGTTTACGACACTGGCATTTTCCCAGATGACTGGCTAAAATCAACGTTTATTACAATACCCAAAAAGCAAAATGCTAGAAAATGTGGAGAATATCGTATGATTAGTCTTATGAGCCATGTACTAAAAGTGTTCTTAAACATCATACAGAACAGAATAAGACCAAAATGTGACAAACATTTGGGAAACAGCCAGTTCGGATTTCGCTCCGGTGTCGGAACCAGGGAAGCTCTATTTGCTCTCAATGTTCTCGTACAGAAGTGCAGAGACATGCAGACTGACGTATTTCTTTGCTTCATCGACTATGAAAAAGCTTTCGACCGTGTCAAACACCAACAACTTATCAGCCACCTGTCAGATATTGGGCTGGATGGCAAAGACGTCAGGATAATCCGCAATCTGTACGACAAACAAGTAGCAACAATAAGAGTAGAAAATGAAGACACCGAGCCGATTGAGATTTGTCGCGGAGTTCGTCAAGGTTGTGTTCTTTCGCCGATGCTCTTCAATATTTACTCAGAGGCCGTGATGTCTGAAGCATTAGAAAACCTCGATGCTGGAGTAAAGATTAATGGCACGCTGGTAAACAACTTGAGATATGCAGATGACACGGTTCTTGTTGCTGCTTCGGAACGTGACTTACAGACAATTGTAAATAAAGTCAACGAGACAAGCGAGAAAGCCGGTCTGTCTATTAACATCAGTAAAACCAAGTTGATGGTTGTCTCCAAAAATCCTGATCTTGACCCAATTATAAACATAGATGGCAAACCACTCGAACGAGTACGACAATACAAGTACCTCGGTGCTTGGGTAAATGAAGTATGGGAATCAGATCAAGAAATTAAGACCCGGATAGAAATTGCCCGAGCATCTTTTAACAAAATGAGGAAAGTTCTGTGTTGTCGTCAAATAAACATTAAGCTCAGAGTTAGGTTACTCTTCTGCTACATCTGGCCCCTAGTCATGTACGGATGTGAAGCATGGACCGTGAAGGAGGACACTACGAGACGTATAAATGCATTCGAGATGTGGTGTTACCGTCGAATGCTCCGAATCAGCTGGACACAAAGGGTCAGCAACGAATCCGTGCTACAGCGCGTCCAAATGACCCGGAAAATTATGCTGACCATCAAAAAGCGAAAAATCGAATATCTCGGTCACGTGCTTAGACACGATAGATATTCACTGCTTCAACTGATCATGATGGGCAAAGTGGAGGGGAAGAGACGTGCTGGGCGCAGAAGAAAATCGTGGCTGCGAAACATCCGGGAGTGGACCGGCATTACATCTGTCGAACAATTGTTCCGCATGGCTACCGACAAGGAGAAATACAAGAAGCTGACGGCCGACCTTCAACATTGAAGAGGCACTGTAAGAAGAAGAAGAAGAGTGATTCTTAAGGAAGGTTTGTATGTATAATACATGCATATTGCACCCGTGCGAAGCCGGGGCGGGTCGCTAGTATTGTGTATAAAACATTTCTTGTTTATTTATTCTATTGAAAGAATTGCATCTTTTATGTGCCAAGTTGTGCCAAGTACATAAAAAATTATTTCAATTAATCACATGTATTTTTCAAACATGTAATGTAAATGAAGTTGTTTATCAATTGGTTTATCAGTAACTAGAGACCCACCCTGGCTTCACATGGGTGCAATATGCATGTAATATACAAGTAAACCTTCCTTAAGTCCTCTATCTATTAAAAACATCGCATCAAGGATTGCATTGCATAGGATAAGATCTAAGGCTGTCTGTCTGTACAGACGGCGGATAGAGACTTTGTTTTATACTATGTAGTGAAGATTGGTGCTAGTTTCAAAATGTAGAAAGAGTAGAAGAGAAGCAATCGTTTAACACATTTTATTTTAATATAATAAAGAAGCTAATTATTTTTGTGTAACATAACTTCTATCTAATAATATCTCAATTCTGAGTGAATTTATCACAATATCTGACAAGCACTTACAAAAAAGAGATAAGTATTTACTATCCCACTTATCATTTTGAGAGAATTATTAATACAACATCTCAAAATTCAAAAAAAAGTTTCTGTCCACTATTCTAGCATTAAATGTAAAAGTAATACAATAATATAGAACTAAAAGGATTTACCCATCCATTATAAAGGCATCTAGTGTTGTCTCCCCATCTTCATCAGGACTTCCTCCATATCCCACTGTCCGATCACATTGCTCGTTTTCACATACTATGCCACCTTGTTCTACAGCATCTAAAGCTTTGCCTCCATTCTTAAGGACTTCCCATGCTGCAAAAAATAAGACATTTTTTAAGAATCATTGCTAAAACCAATCAAGGCCTAACATAATAAAGCCTTATATTTCTTTGAGCTTGGGATATTTATTTATATGTACATTTAAATTAGGTGATAAGCCAAGGAGTTGATTTTTATTCAAGGTATTTATAGATAACTTATTTTCAATAGTATTTACCCAGAATTCAGAATGACTAGGTACATACAGGAAAAACTACAATATAAATTGAAAACACTATGACATAACTTATTACAGCATACTACACTAGCTTTATGTAAAAACATAAGTAAAATTATACTGCCGATAACTACTTAATAAAATAAAGATATAAATTTTAAAATAATTTCATACTCAACGACTATTAACTTACTTTACCTTTTTCTGAAGCATTTGTGAATGACCATGTCGTTATTACAGTCGGAATATTTCTTTCGCCTTCCACTAAACAATAATTAAAGCTTAAGTATAATGTTAAAACCAGTAATTTGAACATTTTGTTTTTAAAGTTGTTCTTTAGACACCACTTCACTCGCTAACTGATAAGAGTGTTATCAGCTAATATTTTGATTGACATTCTCACACAAAGGCCGTAACTTATGTATGATTGTGTTGCATTTCGCTATAGTTGCAGTACCTAGTGGCGTCACAAACATACAACAAAATAAAATATCTAAAGCTAGCTATATAAGAAATTCATTTCAGAATTTTGAGCTGAGTTCCAAGGATTTCCAATACTTTGTTGACATAATATTTCGCTCAGCGGCTATTATTTGCCATAGACTAAAATAATTCTATTTTTCAGCACTTTATGATGAAATCTGAAGCTCTATGACCAAAGGTGAAGTGCACTGAGTATGGAAAGTAGTATGGAATCCGTTCAAAAAAAGTCAAAAGTCAAAATTATTTATTTCAATTAGACCAGGCAATGGCATTTTTTTGTTGTTGGCGTTCAAAGCGCTTTTGAACGCCAAGAACAAAAAAATTTTGAAGTGAAGCTAGTTTTTTTTTTTTATTTAAATTATAATAACAACAGTGTACACATTGAGTTGCTCATTTCAAGGTGTAGATTCCTATGGAGAAGAACGAGCAAGAAACTCCATAGGTTACTCTTTTTCAATCGGGTTCACAATACAATTCTCAACATTGTAGTTACAAAGTTTTGTTGGTTCGATTGTGTAATTGTGTTCATTGCGGTAGCGAACATTCAGGAAGGGAACGTTGAGTCCTTTATAATCTTGATTATATCTATAACAAATTATTAACAAAATGTACTTTCTGTGTGATATTGAGCATTACAGTTTACGTTTGTTCCCCACATTAAAAATACAGTTAAGAAAGCATCTAGAATGCTGGGGTTTGTCATCAGAAATATTACTTGCTATCGCCAGAATCAAACTAAAATACTTCTCTATAATTGTCTGGTTCGTAGCTCTCTGGAGTATTGTAGCGTTGTATCGAGACCACAATATGCCACCCACACATTAAACTGTCAAACACCAAGCGGTCACCGGTGACCGCAACCTATTGTTCTATAATTGTGTCTACAAAACCGGTACTCGACGAGTTAAGACTGGCGCGGATTCAAAAAAGATTTTTGTGGCACTTAGCGTACTCTTCCGGGATAGCTAATAAAAAGCTGTCATGCGATGAGAGGTTGAGTCACTTCAAAATAATATCCCTACAAAAACGAAGAAACTCACTAGATTTATTATTTTTATAAAACCTTGCGATATCATATTGACTGTCCCCAGCTTTTGAGCAAGCTCAGAATACGTGTACGCTCAAAAAATTTACGAGAGCCTATAACTCCATTGTGTCCTCCACTACGCAGGACTGTACTTGGTGCTAATTCTCCCATCCCCCGTCTATGCAGGTTGTTGAATAGCTGTGGTGACCTTGTTGATGTGCACTTGGACTCACTTCTAAAGTTTCGCGGAAAATTTAAGTTGATTCTTTATGGTGATGTTGTCCGAATGTAACTGTTTTTATTGGTTTTGTCCTTAGGTTCACTTTTTGTTTTGCCCACTATTTATGTTCTGATTGTAAGTATTAATTGTCTTTATTGCTCGTATCGTCAATTTTAAGTTTAATATTTAATTTTTCTCTGATACTAATTAACTTAACCTTTTGAACGCCAGAGCAAAAACGCATGAACTTGCCCTCAACGCCAGGCCACAAATTCACCGCAAATACCTACGAAAAAAATAGGGATTCCAAAACTTCATCGATAATCAATTTTATTTTCATTTTCGTCTTTAATTTCGAAATATAATGTCCTTATAACATTGAAATTTAATTCAACATTACATTTCTTCCTATTAAAGTAATAGTTATACACTATTTACAGACTTGTATAATACCGTAATAACAGATATGAGACTACAATATATTTAAATATAATAACTGTAGGTACAACACTGCTGTCTTCATATTGTGACCATGGCGTGGACGGCCCGCCATTTTAATAACTACTTCGCTTCCGAAATAAGGATGTGGCAACGTAATATCTCGTTTATCGATGTTCTAGTACAATATTATTTTATAATAAATGAAACACGTTTTTTAAATCAGATTTATAATTCCGAATGTAACAGGTACTTAAAAATATATGATTGAAATAGGTTAAGAAGGTAAATAAAAACTATGAAAAAATAGAAAATTTTAATAAAATGTTATACAGTATGTACTATGTATACATGTTTTTAAATATTAAGTTCTATAAACCTGGCATAAAAAGTAACAAATTAAAACAATTAACGATTATATATAATTATCACAATTACCAATCAGTCTTATACTAATAAATCTTTTGAATAATAGAGCAAAATTATACAAAATCTACAATGCAACCTGCATTCTGAACTCTGAACTCGATATCACAAGTAAATTAATCATAAATATTATTCATTCACTTCACTAATTTCTGGTCGCCGCGCTTGTGACGTCACGATATTGTCGTCTAGTCGTGACCATGGCGTACAGGGTACTGATAATTCGGGTTGCGTTAGGGATGCGCTCGAGTTGGGATTAGTGAATATCGAAATTCGACCCAACCAAATTTTATTTTTGACTATGTAGCTTATTGAATGATTTTTAAGACTGGTTTTATAAAATTAATGCTGCTTTATCCTAGTACCAAATTATACCTAAAATAATATATTCCAGAGGAAAGTTTCGCATCGATCTTTGATTTAAAATAATGATATTATCCAACATGCGCTACATCACTAGCGGTCACGCAGTTATGACTCTGGCGTGTGAGGACATTCTTTTTTCAGAGTTTATTTCTTTCTTTTTAACGTAAAATTTCTCAATATTTATAATGCAATTTAATTAGTTTTATGGAAATAAATAAATTTTGGACCTTCTATTTTACAGGTATATAAATAAATAGGCATTAAAGTAATGTTTAAATAGTTTATTTCGTGTTTTAATGTACCGCTGTTTTTGTCACATATTTGTGTCGTTGGCGCTCAGGGACAGTTTTCGCTTGTCACGTATTTGTGACCCTGGCGCTCAAAAGGTTAAAACTTCTTAGTTATTTTGAATGTTGAATCCATGTCAATGGTTAGATTTGCCTGTCTCTGATCATAGGGATTTGTAAATCATTAAGTATATAATTCATGTTGTGCTTACCTATAATATATTGATGCACTAGTATTTCAGTTTTCGTAAATGTTACCCTATATTGTATAAGTAAGTGTAATCAATTGTTAGTGAGCCAAATCAATAAAATAAAAAATATCGCTATCGCTTTGTGAAGAGTCGTGGAGACGAACCAAACCAATCCGAATAGTTTTGAGCTAAGGGCAATAAAATGACCTTTCATTGTATACAAATATATAAGTAGTTAAGAATCTAACATAACATAACATCACGCCTCTTATCCTCGAAGGGGTAGGCAGAGTTGCACAAAACGGCATTCAATGCCGCTGTATATACAATGTAACACCCACTTTTCATAATTTATGTTAAGAGTCCCATGTAATAGGGAGTCCCATGTCTATTGCCATATACCGGGCATATTTTCAAACACCGTGCTACTACTGAGATTTTTTTAAAACCCCATAATACTTTGCCCAATCCGGGAATCTAATCCGAGACACCTTTCCCAGTCACACTTGCGACCACTCGGCCAACGATGCCGTCAATTAAAAATGATGGAGAAAAATTAACAAACATTTTTTTAACAAAAACTAAAAGTCACATTTTTAAAACAATGTCAATCACAGATGACATCGAGTGTTGCCATAGTTTTGAATTTAGTTAGAGCTTAAACATCGTTTTCATGATTAAATAGACAAGCTATAAATGTGCCAAGTGTTTTATTTTTCCTATTTATCAAATTACATGCTTTAGTTTTGAAACTCCATTTATATATTTTATGAATTATGTCTAATATTTTATCGACATCGATAAATTCTATTCGCGATCCATATCGCACTCCTTTATCTATGACAGTTCATTTGGATTTTAAATTTTTAATGTTGGTATCCTTATTTTGTTATGAGGTTGGTTAAAATCGGTTACGAAATCGTCAGAAGTTCAAACTCTTAGAATTGCGGTCCGTTTTGGCAAAAAAGTAAATGGCGCAAAGGGACTACAGTTCCTATTTTGAACGCTATAATAAAAAGTATATTGAATAAATCTGTGCAATCTAATGCCAGAAGTTATATTATTATTCTCTTTTTTGTCTGTTGCGAACTGTCTGTGGTCGGACTGTGTGTGATCATAACATATAAACTCAACTTATTTTATTTTAGTCTTTCTTTGGTAGTATCTCTAAGTAGTCTGTGCTGTAAACTGCTCACGAAAGAAAAACAATATTTCAATTTTATAAATACCTGTAATTCTAAGGTGAGTTTTAAAAGCTTTTCTTTGGTGTTTTATAATAATTTCAGTGCATGATTACCCTGGGGGATATAGTGACAAATTTGTGATGTGAGGAATTTCAAATATCAGTAAATTTTTTAAATCATGTCGAGCGGTTCTGGGAACATCAATGATAGTCAGTCCACAATTATTTTCAATCAAAGAATTAACACATCTACCGAAAATAAATCATGATTCCACGTCTTATTATTCACTGGGGCTCACATAGGCGGGGTTTTTTGTATGTCAACAAAAAATTTGGCCGTCTGCGTCGTTTATTGAGTTAACCTGAGTTAACCAAAGAGAAGCCATTTCCGCGCGTCCATAAACATGGCTCCGCTTTTGACATATGACAATTTACAATTTAGACGTACCTTTGAAAGTTTGAAACCAATAGAAATTCCATAGACACATTATGTATAACTCACTCGGTCAAATGGAAACAACATAGATATAATATATTATATACCTTTATCAAATCAGTGGGAAACAAATACCACTAAGATTATACAGAGATAGAAATATAAACATGCATTAGTCAGGGCATGGAGTTTTGCCTGACATCTAAAATTGTATACCTATAAAAATGATTCTCACATATTTAAATTAAATTACGTATAAATTATTATTTTTTTGTTGTAAGTCCCTTGCTTAATAAATAAATTGAGGTAATTTTGGACTATCAATAGGTACTATTTCCTACTCGTCACATTAAAGATGTATTTGAACTGAAACTGTACTCATGTGTTCTGTGTGCATTATGTATGTTTTTATGGGATAAGCCGGTAAACGAGCAGACGGATCACCTGATGATAAGCAATCGGCGTCGCCCATCGTTACAAGTGCGTTACCGGCTTTTTGTGGATTAGGAGTTTGAGGACTGATGGGGATTAAGAGTTTGAAGATTAATGAGGATTCATGGATTGGAGAGATTGAGGAAGGCAGGGGGTAATTAGGTCTCCGGTAACCTCATTCATATGACGAAACACAACGCAAGCGTTGCTTCACGTCAGTTTTCTGTGAGGCCGTGGTATCACTCCGGTCGAGCCGGCCCATTCTTGCCGAAGCATGGCTCTTCCACACTTAAAAACTTATATAGTGGAGTAAAATTAACGCAGTGCGTTAATTTGGAATTTGGGAAAATAGAAATACATTTCTAATGTATTTGTAATTAAAGTTTGCACCCTAGCGGAAGGGAGTGACAACGGGGCAAATAGGTTTTGATCATAACTACCCCGATAATGAAAATATACTTTGCGTAGTATTTTATATGATACACTTCAACCTACCCTATTACGTTTCATTTATTTTAATTATGTCAACGCCGCGTTAAGACAAATATAAAGGTGTAAAAGTTTCTGGTTCGGAGAAAAATGTAGAGTTTTGTAAAATTAGGAAAGTGTAGCAGACTTTGAACTAAACACACGATTGGTTTTGCACTCCGGTGCAACATATGGAAATTAGATTTTTACTCTTTTTATCACTGCATTTAATACACTGGTTTTATTAGGAAAATGATTGGAAGTAACTCCGGACCGAGTAATGTTTGTAGAATCTTTAAAAGAACACCACCACAACCTTCATTTAGCACCATTCCTGTCAGGTGGAACAGCGTTACATATGAGTACAGTAAAGTCACAATATGTTGAAAATTAATTAATAAATTATATAAGAATGACGACACGGTTGGTACAGTAGCTGGGCAACCGGCTGCCGTGAATCGTGTCGCGGGTTCGATTCCCGCACGGAGCAATTCTTTGTGTGATCCAGAAATTGTTGTTCCGGGTCTGGGTTTCATGTGTATGTGAACTTGTATGTTTGTAAACCTAGAGAAGTGAAAAGTTTTCTTTTTTTTTTTTTTAAAAAAAAAGAATGTTTCAAAAAGAAAAGACGTTGAGATTCGAACCTGCACCTCATAAATGACAATGACCAAATTTGTATGGAGTGTGGTGCCTTTTCATTTTTTCGCGGCAGTTGATTGGATGTGGAAAGACTGATGCAGAATAACATTACAAACAAAAAAAAATATATGGGGTCTTATATCAAAAACACAGTCCAAACAGAGATCAGTTCAAAGATGTGAAAATAGTGCTATATTATTCCTGTTATTTTGTTGATGGTGACAGTACACAACGCATTTAACTTCATTTACTTGTCAGAAATATTTTGTAATAAATGATTATAAACGATTTCAAGGAATGTAATAAAGCTTTTTATAGACTATTTTTTTTGTGTTTGGCCTTATGGCCACGGAACCAGAACAGAGTGAACCATTAACTGGCCACTGCTCAAGTAAAAAAAAAAAACATTTCGCTTGATTGGCTAGCGTATTATTTACTTTATATGTATACGGTCTATGGCCTATGACAGATTTTCATGATCAATTTCCTCTCAGTCGAAAACCCGCAAAATACTTTACTGAGCCTATCATGAAATGCTACGTTTGTCAGCTGCGGCGTCGGAAGCGGATTGAGTAGCGTTGATCACTTGAAAAGTCGACGGTTTCGTTTTTTCAAAAGATTATGCTAGTTATAAAGTAGATGAGTGTCGCACCAGGTGTCAATGGCAAAAAAAAAAATTATATTTTATTACTTAGATGTTTGGACGGCTACCACTACTTAACCCACCACTGGTTCCACAGCTGACGCTCATGAAGCTTCATGACACAACTCCTAGAAGCATCCCACTAGTTATCGACTGAGAGAAAATAGGTAATCAAAATTAGTACATGTGATATGGTTTACCTGTGCCCGGAGTACAGTGGCGCGCAATTTGAAGTTAGGAATTGTGATAAAAATATGAATAATTTGAATAAAAAACCAAAGTAAAATGTTTGACTCCAGCTCCTATCAACGCTCATAACTCAGTCCAGACTGAGATTTCCATATATAAGCCCATAGACAATTTCGTTTGAAATGTCATTCTAGATAATATTTTCCATAAATCATCGACTGCCGCCAGAAAAAAGAAAGGCAACAATTTTAATCAATGCCCTTTGCGGTCAGTCATTTTGTGTTTGATGATATTGACGTGTCATTTTTTTTTAAATTGAAACCAAGCGTGCCGACTTTTTAATACCCACTGCGACGTCATAGCTGCAATTTAGTGACGGGACATCCAAAACGATTCAAAGCCGTCGATGCCGCCGATGCCCCTTCGCCCCGCTACGATTTAACTGAAGCTGCCACCGTGATCGTCTCGCTCATACTCATATATTTTATATTATATTTCAACAATCTCAACGTTTTTCCTTCAATGAAACTAATGCAGCTAGCGTTTTAACGACGAGTCGAGTTGGCATTCGTTTGCCGCCAGACCCGCTATAGCTACTACCGACAGCCTAGAGCCGAGGAAGCCGGAAGCTACCGAAGTTGTAATGATGGATGACGAGGGAACCGCGCTGACGGCTAACCAGAGGGTACGGTCAAACGCCTCTCTGTTGGATGTAGCCGACCGTTTCGCGAATAAAGAACCCTCGACCAATTACACCCGGTGTCGTTTAGTCTTTTTTTTTTTAAGGGGGGAAAATCATCGAATGACTGCTCCCGCCTGGGTGAGGTGGGAGGGAGTGTCAGACTCTTACTGACTAAAAACCACCCCGTTCCTTCTCCTGCACGTCGAGCCGGAGCACCGGTAACCCGTCAGGTCCTTCGCGACGTCGTTTAAAGCCTGACGCGAGCCGAGAATAACATTCGTTTGTCATCTAGTCTCGTAGCAGCTTCAATGCAGGAGGGCCCGGAGGAATGGCCCACCGATGACGGTGGGCGGTTCCTCCGGGCGTTTACGTTTCGACGTACGTCAAACGCGCCGTTTGACGCTCGTACAGTCCGCGAAAAGAATCGAGCTAGCGAGGAACGTAGCTCTGGAAAGAAACGTCACCCTGCGCCGGAATATTCCGCAGGAGCCGGAGATCTGCTTCTGTTAAAAACCCAGGGTAGCGACGATGCGTCCCGTGGACAGACTCCGAAGTCAAACCACGTCGTAGATTAGGAAGTGGCGAGAATTCGGGTAAGTAACGCGTCTTACAGTTGATTCCTTTCCTACTCAATGTGCTGGGTCCGCCTGACAACGAAAGACCTAGGCGCGGAAGACCCAAGCGATTTCTAGACTTACCAAGACGCGAGGGCGCTATGACTAGGTCAGAGGGGGAGGATGTAACGCGACAATTCGATTTTGGTTTGTGTCGGACGCACGCGCACAACTAGTGGCAAAACGCCACCTCTCGATTTCTCTTCCCCCGCTTCCCCGCCACTGACCGCTCGACGCTTGCGTGAAAACAGAGCAATGAGTCCCTTGCTGGAGCCGTGACGCACGCGCTCCGTGTTTGTACCGCGAATATTTGAGTTTTATCTTATTTTTATATTGTGCATTTTTTTTAATATTTAGTTTAAAGTTTATTCCAATATACAGTTTTACAGTCATTCGTGTGTCAAACCTCGTTTTACGCCCCTGAGAACCCACTGAAGACAATCCTCAAGTAGGTTAAACACATTAAATACATAAAAATAGTCGTATAATGTTGAAAGGATAAACAAAACAGATTAAATACATCAACCCTAAAAAATATCCTCTTTTGTATAGCTGTCCTGTAAAATTAATAATCTACTAAATCGGCTTTTTTATATAATTTTACAGTCCGATATCGATTAAAATCGATTATTGGTACAAGTTGTAGAACGAACAACAGCACTAGTTGCTACAATTGACTGACGAATGACAAATTGCCTGTAACACGAAGTCGAAGGATGCGTGACAGTATTGCTTGTGCAATATTCATCGTCTCTTAACACACAACGTCATATCGAACTACCAAAGCAAATGCGGCAACGTAGTGTGATTAAAGTTTCCATCAACAGCCTATTAATGTAGAAATTATAAGTCCAGGTTTCCTCACGATGTTTTTCCTTCACCGTTTGTCAGCGGTGTCTAAATAATCTTAGAAAGTACATAGAACTCGGAAAAAGTCCCATTGGTACTTGCCGTTCGAATAAAGTTTACTCAACGGTAATTTATAGTTAGGAATATTCTGGAACGACACGCAACTTGAAATACTTAAAACAGTTTGAATATAAATTTACGCATAATATAATTTTAAAATAACTTACCTATGATAGGAAATATGTTCCTGCCTTTGGGTGCTCGAAATTTTTGGGCTATGGCAGTTAATTATCACGCAACGAGGCATTTTTTAGTTTTTTGCGGACGTTCGGCTGCAACAACGGACGCGCGGGGACTGAAGTTCGTGGCGACCAACCTCGACGCTTGGTCGGGGTTCAGACACGCAAAGTGCATGCATTTGCGTTATCTATCTAGATCTATGTCTGTGATATTAACATTTAACTATAAGATATAAAAAGTTTTTATAATGTTTTAAGTTTATTACCTTTTCTTATATCTTTAGGTTTTTGCCTTTCTTTGATTTATTTTTTATACACGCTTGTTAGGACATGGAACAAGGCGCTGGCAAAAGTCGTGGTCGTGGTCCTCGTGCTGGACGTGTTGGTGGTGGCCGGAGTGGCCGTGTTGGTGGTGGTCGGAGTGGTCGTGCCAGTGGTGGTGGTACCCGTGATCGTGGGAGCTCGTGCGCATGAGTTTAACACGTTAGCTATTTTCAGTCACTGTCACAAATATTATATTATAATAAACAATACATTTTTATATAATATATTTTTTTATACTAGACAATAAAGTATAAAATATTATTTATTTTTAGTGTTACCAAGGCACGTCCTGCTGTTGCCGGATCATCGATATCGTATGTAAAGTTTTATTTAAAAAATCAAGTTTTACATAGTATCTATATTAAAAGGTGTTTTTTTTTTCTTTTATTTCAGTATTGCTGACAAAGTAAGAATAAATATGAGCCGACGGACGAACGGACAGAAGCAGCGGGTACAGCTGCAGCAACAGAGGGAAAAAAAAGAAGTATCCCACTTTTTAATGCCCGACGCTCCTCCTGTCAAAAAATCCAGGTGAGCAAATTTATTACAAAACATTTATTCATCTTTCAATAATTTTAAATATTATAACCATGTTAATATATTTTAGAAAAGGGTCTCCAGTGAGAATGCCTTGTCCCCTTCTTCCGGGGACTCCAGAAGTCCCACCTCCACGTGTTCTCCAACCATGGGAGCTGAACATAAGAGGTGTGTAGTCTTCTTGCTCTGTTAGATTTTGCTTGATTTGACTCAATAAAAACTTATTTTAATTTTTAGCCTCTTTAATGAACAAAAGCGGGCCTATAAGAGTGTTGGAAGAGGACTTTGATGAGGTGGTCTCCAATGACAGCGCAACAACAGAGTAAGTTTTAATGAAATTTCAACTTATGATGATTTTATTATTTTAAAAGTATAAACGAATTGGTCCTAATTATTATGTTTTTTCACAGGACATCTCAACTAGTAATCACTCCCTCTACGCCAGTAGTTATTGATACGGCTGAGTGCTGTGCGTTCCAAAATGTGTCTCCAACACCATCTTCCTCTACTGGTGCAGGTGAGTTATTTTATATTTAACTCGTCGAGTACCGGTTTTGTAGACATAATTATAGAACAATAGGTTGCGGTCACCGGTGACCGCTTGGTGTTTGACAGTTTAATCTAAGGTCAGTGATGCAAGTCTAGTAGTATTCAGAAATTTGAGACACTGCTTGCTCTCATATCTACTGTTAAGGTATGTATTATTTTGTTTTAGAGCCTTCTGACATTCTGGTGTGGGAACAGTCAGCGGGATTGAATCCCGACAGCGATGTCGAGGAGGAAACCCTTATCGATAGCGAACCCACTCGCGTGAGAGACGCCAATGACGCCGGGGAAGTATTATGCAGCGAACTCAGCGAGGCTCTGGAGAATTTGGACAGGCAGGATGACAATGCGTTGAGGGAGATAGCAAACGAGGACATGCTGGACTTCGATTGGTCGCATGACCATACAATTTTTACGGGGCAGCGAGAAATTTTTACTGGGATAGCTGGGCCTACATTTACTGTAGATGGAATGTCACCGTTCCAAATTTTTTCGAAAATTTGGGACGATGACATCATAAATCTAATAGTCCGGGAAACTAATAGGTACGGCGCAATGCTCTGCAGCGCGAAAGACCTTCAGACATTTTCAAGATTAAGGAGGTGGACGCCCATAACGTCCCAGGAGTTGTGGACGTACTTTGGAATTCTGATGCTGCAGAGCATTACGCAGCTTCCTGTGGAGAGCGAGTACTGGAGACCATGTTTGCCTTATTTAAAATTGGGAAACTTTGCTAACATTATGTCATTCCATAGATTTATGGAAATCAAAAGGTGTCTTCATTTCACAGACAATACTGTTGCCAGGGATAACCCAAATAAACTCACAAAAATTAAGCCCATTATTGACCATCTTAATAAAAAATTTAGCTACTTATACCTACCTGAGCAGCAAATTGCTATCGATGAATCATTATTGTTGTGGAAAGGCCGGCTGTCTTTTGCTCAATTGATAGCCAATAAAGCTGCTCAAGTAGGAATAAAGAGCTATGAGCTATGCGAGTCCAGGACGGGATACCTCTGGCAAATGATGGTATACACCGGAAAGGAAAATCACAATGTCGGCCACGACTCGCAGGAGGAGCCGCAAGCCACGGCTACCTCCAAAATTGTCTATCACTTGGTACGGCCTTTATTAAATAAAGGCCACACCTTAATAATGGACAATTTTTACAATAGTCCCCTTTTGGCGCGTACACTTAAAGCGAAAAAAACAGACGTCATGGGTACGCTGCGTCTGAACCGACAATTCGTGCCCGAAAGTTTGCGGCAGAAAAATAAGTCAAACATGCGCACGGGAGAAGTGGCTTTCAGCCAGACTAAGGACATCACGATTGTGGTATGGAATGATTCCAATGTGGTGTCAATGATATCCACGTATCATAAAGCAGAAGTTGGCGGAAAAGAAAAATACGGGTACTACAAGTACAAGCCCCAAGTAGTTTTGGACTATAACCTTTCTATGGGGGGCATTGACAAAAAAGATCAAATGATACAAGCGTTCCCCATTGAAAGAATCCGAAACCATGTCTGGTATAAAAAGCTTTTCCGCCGACTTGTGAATGTTTCGATCCATAACAGTTTCGTGATGTTCTCGAGTGTAGTGCCAGGAATAAGGCAGCGGGCGTTTCGTGTACGGTTGGCGGACGAAATTTTGCAAAAATTTTCTACGCCAAAAATACAGGCGCCCCCTGCTACCGGCCACTTCCCTGCTAGGAACGCCTCCAAAAGATCACGTTGCAAGTGGTGCGCACTAAATAAAAAAGATACATGCACAGTCTGGAAGTGCGACACTTGCAACGTAAATCTCTGTGTACAGGGGTGTTTTAGGGACTATCACATAGCTATGTAGTTCCGGCTACCTTAATTATCCAAAGAATACACTAAGTAACGTTTGAATTAAATGAACAAGACTTATTATGGTACATAAAATAGTTATTAAAAATATTTCGAGGACAATGAAACTTTTATTTCCTGTATTTTTGTAATCAGGGGAAGATGTCACGGAAATTTCAATTTTTCTTGTATGTCGGAAATAATGTGGGGGAAATGAGTATGAGTCCTCCCTAAGTGTAACAAACCCTTTTTTGAAAACTGTATTTAAATCGCTTTCGCCAATGGCGGTTAGGTAGAACTTCTTTTACTTATTGTGTCAGTTTTCCTAGAACAATTTTCTTGTCGCTCACTTCTGACTGACAGCAGTCCAAAAAAAATACATTTATGCCAGTTTTGTACAACAAGCGTAAAATCTACTTCGTTAAGCACCCAATAACCATTTCGGTACTTTTTGTAGTCGAGGGTTCAACCCCCGAATTAATTTCCACCCCTAAAGTTAGTTTGGACCAAAATATTTCATTCAATTTTTTTTACTTTTTTCATATTTGGTGATTTTGTAAAGGTATAATAAAATAATGACACATTCTCATTACAAATATACGAAAACAAGCTGTAATTTTCATAAATATGTTACTAACATAATTTTATCAAGTAATAACATAACATCACGACTTTTATAGCCAGAGGGGTAGGCAGAGGTGCACATTATGGCACTTTGTGCCACTGTAACACCCACTTTTCACTTTTTATTTTATTTCTCAGAAGTAATTTTCTTATAAAAATATTCTAGGAAAACTGACACATTAAGTAGCTTTTTCTAAAAATTTTCTTATTTTTGACATATAAATGACGTACCAATAAATGAGTATTTATTCACTAACAATTGTATGTACACTTGCTTAATAAAATAATTGTTCAGTGAGATATGCTTAACCCTTTAACCGCCGACAACGTAATATTACGGTTTTCGAAAGCTGTGTCCGAATCGCCACATACGTACAATCACGTTATTTTATTAAAAATCTTCTTATAGTGCACAAACTCCATATAAAATGTGTCAATTTCAAGATGTAGGGTATAATCTTTATTGTTATGGATATTTCTCAATGTTTTGAGTGATAAATACTGTGAAATTTGAGGTTTAATTAAATTGTGGTCACCGTCTCCATTATCTGTATCGCCAATCACGTAATTTTACGAGTACTAGGGATGGGGCGAATTCGAAAAATACTTAATAGGTTGTCTAAGAACAAACAAGGCACTATAGATATTACTGTCACTATTTGCAATGAAAGTGTATACTTTCATTAGAAAATAACCATAGTGTTACTTTGATGCAAGTATTTGTACTAATTAAAATGTATTTAAGTTTAAAATTATTTAATATTTATAACAATAATATAAAAATTTCATAACGCAGAACCGCACTAGTGCGGACAATCGCCGGTCGCCATCATCGTAATATTACGTGCGGCCAAGGAGATTATAGCGCTGTATTGTGAGTTGCCTTAGCGCCGTCACCGTAAAATCACGTTAAACATTTATCACTCAATGCAACTAGTGTTGTAAGCCCTTTTTTGGGTTTTTGTTATTTCTCAAATAAATCAACACAGTCAAAACCAAATGTGTCCATTATGCAAAGTTAGAAGATGGTGACGCAAAAGTTTTTGATCAGAGACCAAGTGATCCACGAAATGAATACTTTGCATCTTTAAAACCTTTTGAGCTGGAAACCGTACTGTCGGAAATCCGCTCAGAAGTTTACATGAAATTATTAAATTTAATACAACATGCTCGTGGAGCATCGTCACCGTCGCCAGCAAGAGAACGGACGACGCCGTGGCCATTTCCCGAATACTCATTTTCGTACACTTCGTTTGAAGATTGAAAATTTTTAGCTTATTTATTAAGTAGGTAAATAAAACATTGATTTTAATTAATAAAGAATATATGCATCGATATTAAGTGGTCCCAACACTGTTCCAACTTATACCTAAAGTGACGTGGCGCTGGAGGTAAGTTGAAAGTTCAGAAGCTTGGCGGTTAAAGGGTTAAAGATGTGTGTCAAGGTAGTGTTTTTTCAATATTTGCGAAAGTGTGGTACAATTTGGAAACCATACATTTTCGCTGAACATAAATTGAGTGGTTTAGCTAGGTTTTGGTCCCAGTTATCTCTCCTCACAGTGTAGTGCACCATTTACTTGACATCCCCTGTATAGAACGATGGCACTGTAAAAATTGGGTACTTGCCTTAATCAATACATAGTATAAAACAAAGTCGCTTTCGCTGTATGTCCGTATGTATGCTTAGATCTTTAAAACTACGCAACGGATTTTGATGCGGTTTTTTTTAATAGATAGAGTGATTCTTAAGGAAGGTTTGTATGTACAATATATGCATATTGCACCCGTGCGAAGCCGGGGCGGGTCGCTAGTCAAAAATAAATTATTTCGCTTGTTCAATACAACAAAATATTAAAAAATAATCACTTCATAACCAACTTAACTCGTCGAGTACCGGTTTTGTAGACACAAATAGAACAATAGGTTGCGGTCACCGGTGACCGCTTGGTGTTTGACAGTTTAATTTTAGTATTTTTACAGCAATTTTTTTACTTATAATGTATTCATTATAACTTTATTTTTCATTGAACTTATAATGTATTCATTATAAATTTAACTTATAATGTATTCATTATAAGTAAAAAATTTGCTTTTAATTTAACTTTTAATTTATATACACTGTTAGACGCTAAATAAACGTGATGTCACAACACACAATCTCGTACAAAATTCATAAAAAACTGTCGTTTTTGACAGTTCCAAAGAAGTATTGAATTTGACTATTTGGTACGTACCCAATTTGTAGATATTTATAGAAAGGTTGACAGCTGGCTGTATTTTTTTAGGCCGGAGATAGATTATGCATCTTATTTGGGCTCTAAATATGACTTCTCTATCTACTGAATCACCCCAGTATATCACATCATATCTGATAATTGATTCAACATATGCACAACAACCATGGTAGGCTTCTTAGTTAATTTTTGATAGTTTATGGAGAACATAAGCAAAGTCAAGCTTTAACTTACTCTGTTAGCCTGTGATCTCTAAGTTAAATTGTTGTCTATACTATCGCCAAGGAATATATTATAAATGTTGATTTTGTCCCAAAGTATCTAGGATTTTACTACGAATTTTTTTAGTGATATCCATAAATTTAGTCTTATTGATAAGCAAGTTAATGTTGTCAAATCAAGATACAATTCTATTGAAGGTATCCATTTGTAACTACAATACGTAACACTATTATAAAGATTTTGGCGAATTTGCCCTGTGTGTATACGGCCTTATAATAACGGTTTTCTGTGATACCTAATCGTCCTACTTGTGTGTGATGTAAATTTACTTGTTTCGTGTTTTGATGTTGACGAAATATAAAGTGTGACATATCGTTATAAAGATAATTTATTGTAGTAAGTAAATAACTACTTATACGTAACATAACAGGTTTATTTAATGTTTACTTCCTACAAAAGTTAAAAGAACGCAGCGCGCGTGAGGCGTACATAATAGTTCGCTGCAACAATCAATGTAATGTTTTTTTTTTTTGTATAAGTATATTATAATATAGTTGTTGATTTCAATTTTATGTCTTAGTTAAAATATAAAAATGATTTTATAAAATAAGAATATTGTTACTCTATGTGAAAGGATATAAAGAGAAGAATATTGTACTAGAGTGAAAATTTTTATTTTATCACTTTAACATAAAACGTCTGTAAATATTAATACAACAAAATATATTAATACAACAAAATTTGTACGTAGATTTAAACTTCTTCTCTGTCGTTTCACTCTTGGCAGAGCGGTCGTGGTCACGTTGAGGCGGCCGTATTTATGTTGGTGGCCGTTACAGCTTTCCTCACATCTCCCGCCATCTCACTCTCTTTGTGGATTGTCTGGCGCAGTCTGACACTGGGTTTCCCGTTACCGATTTGACTTGATCAGTCCAGCGCATAGGTGATCTGCCTCGTGATCTGGTTCCCTCTACTTTCCCCTGAACGACCAGCCGCTCTATGGAGTTGTTATCACGACGGGAGACTGTCTCCCGTCATGATAACAATTGGCCATCCAAAGTACTGCAGTATGCGCGTCTGTGGTTGATAGACGCTTTGTGATGCAGAGTTCTCGGAGTATGGATACGTTGGTGCGGAACTCGGTCCACGATACACCAAGCATCTTCCTCCAGCACCACATCTCTAGAGCATCTATCTTCCCCTTTTCCAATTCACGTACTGTCCACCGGTCCACGTCTCTGCCGCGTAGAGGAATTGCCGGAAATTCGGAAATACCAGCGCCTGCGTAAGTCTGATCTTGGTGGTAGATTTAAACTATCTAGGTATTAATTAAAATGATAAAACAATAAAGTTATTAATTTCCATATATTCCCATTTTCCATCAAATTATTACCATTTGAAGTTGAAACGTCCATGGCCGAGTGGTCGCAAATGCGACTTTAACTCGTCGAGTACCGGTTTTGTAGACACAATTATAGAACAATAGGTTGCGATCACCGGTGACCGCTTGGTGTTTGACAGTGCCGGGACCCCTTGGCCTCGGGTTCAATTCCCGGACCGGGCAAAGTATAACTGGGTTTTTAAACAAATCTCAGTAGAAGCACGGAGTCTGGAATTGTGCCCGGTATAATTATGGCAATAGGCCCACCCCCTATTACATGGAACTCGTAACATAAATGGTGAAAAGTGGGTGTTACATTGTACAGTGGCATTAATGTGCATCTGCCGCAATGTGCATCTCTGTCTACCCCTTCGGGGATAAAAGGCGTGATGTTATGTGCTGATCTTATGAAATTGAAACCTTAGAATTTTTAGGTATTGCTGATGTTTACAGTAACCTAGAGAAATTATGGAGACAACCACCACTGTAAACAATTTGCAATACCACACAATAGTCCTAATCATAAGCTTATACAATAAAATAACATTTGAGCTTGAGCAGTCTGAACCACAGAACATATATACCCTAAGGGAAGAATAACAACTCCATACAAATTTCGCGAGGAAATTTTACCTTACCGACGAACGCCATCTATGCCTTGCCCTCCTACTACTAAGTAAAAGAAACCAGGGCGGGAATTTCAAAACACGCGGTATATTCTTTGTATCGACTTATTCTTTGTATAGCATTTTATACACAAGTACAGTGCATTTCTCGATAATTACCTTTAACATCTTGATCAGTATACATATAACCAATATCGAGAAATACAGTGTACTTGTGTATAAAATGACCAAATCATTACATATACCTAGAGGAGATAAATAAAAACAAACAGAAGTATTTCACACTGTTTATTTGGCTTAATATTAATTGATCGGGATACAGCTATATTATTTTATTTATTAGGCTCATCAACAATTATTTATACTTGAATACAAAATAAAGTACTTGCACAATAACAGATTGAGTACAACAATATTTTACAGATTTAATTAGAAAGTGAAGAATAATATTAAAAAGAAATTATATAATGAACAATGATTCATTTTTAGGAAATATTGTTACTATGATAAACAACATGATAACAACAAAGAGCTGTAACAACAGTCACGCTGGTATTAATTGAGGCAAAGCTGTGTATTATTTTACAAGAA